AAAGAATTACGAGCCAGTTCCGTAAAATTTCCTACTACATTGCGCTCCGGAATTACGGAAAAGATACGTAATTTTTATTGAATATTTCTCTCCGTGCAGACAAAATTTTTTAACAGTGTAGTCTTACATACCAAATTATTTTGAGGGGAATGGAGCAATGGAGCAGAGAAACGTTTGCGATTCACTTTAATTCTTTACGTCTCTACTATAAACAAAAATATTGAGATTTCAGCCAATAACAAACGTTCCACTTTGCCCCACCCTCCCTTATAACTGAAAATATCTAGTACGAAATGAAAAATAGTTGGATATTCCCAACAAATTGAATTCTCACATCCTCACATTCCGTTCTAACCCAATCATCCCAATCCGCCTCATCACTCATCAATGCGATCATTCTCAGTGACTATTTGAAAATCCTAATAACTTCTCAACAAACAGGAGAATTGAAAATCTAGTTAATGAGATTTAAATTATAGGAAAGTTCTCCAATCGCGAATCTTCGCGATAGAACAATGAACTCTATTCTTGCACTAATCAATTTTTTTTATCAACTCCAACACAAAAAATATATGACAATTAAAAACGAATCTTGCAACGTGGGTAGTTTTCCAGGGTCATATTTCAATCTGGAAACACAAATGGAGAAAAAAAGTTGGGGAGAAATGATTGAAAAAGTCGGGTAATCGTGGAAAGAAATTCCGTTCAAGGTCTTTCACTCGCCATCGAAAGCAACGATGCGGGACAAACGATGATTTTCCTCCACTTGCTACAAAAAATTTACTGATTGTCAAGTAATGTGTTCTTTAATTGTGATATTCATCCGGAACGTTATAAAAAATTACACCAGCAAATATAAACAATGGCTCAATACCTAAGAATTTTCCTGACCAATTTTAAAATTTTGAAAGCTTCAACTTTTTTGCTTCCGAATGGAAGCATTGCAATCCTTCGATTTTCACCTTCGCTAATTTTGATTGGAAATGATGTAGAATGGTCTGAAACGTAAAAATACGAAGTTTGGCGACCATGTCTGTATGTGACCACGTCCACCGCCCCCTTCATGGTGGTCAATTTTTAGAAAATGAAGTAATTAAATGGCTAAACTAATTCCAGAAATTTGAAATTTTGTCAGATTATAGGGCCTAATGAGGGCTAGCTCTGTACAAAATTACAGCCTGATCGAGCTAATAGTTTTGGAGAAAAAGCGATTCGTTATTAAATCGTTTTCCGCAAATATCTCCAAAACTAGTTGACCGATTTCGGTTTTTTTGTTTTCAAAATATTCGTTTTGACGCCTTCTATCTAAATCAATCAAAACATATATATCCGTTCATACAAAGTTTTCGAGATATTCGCGTTTTTCCGTTTTTTCATAAAAAACTTTGTAAACACTTGTGCAAAAATCGAGATATCAATTTGAAATTTGGACAGAATCTTCCTCTCATGATAACAATACTTCTTATTGAAAATGAGTTCAATCGCATAGGTAGTTTCCGAGATATTCGACTTTCTCTGAAAACCTTTTATGTGCAATAGCTTAAAAACTACGTAACCGATTTCAATTTTTTTTTTCAAAATATTTGTTTCGATGCCTTCTATCCGAATGCTTTCTATTCCATTCGGAAGCTTACTACCAATGGAATTGGTAGAAATGAAAGAAAGAAAGAGTTATAACACATAAAGTAACGGTCAGATGGCTTCGGCCAAAAAGGCTCGAACCCCTGCTTGTTTTAATTTTTCAATGATTGATTTATTTACTGTTTTGTAATACCTGCCTGCAAAGTTGACTTTTTAGGGCGTGCGTAAAATTTTACTTTACGCACAACTGATGAAAGCGGGATGTTGCGCACGTGCACTTTACGTACACTGAGAGAAAAACAAACACGTTGTCAAAAACAAGTCTTCTCTGGGCCAACAAAATCGCTAGTTCAAAATTACCGAAAAAGAATTTGTTTGGTTCGAATTTGAAAGTCTCAAACATGAATAATTTGGCTCAAGATAATAACATGAAATATTTGGCTCAAGAGGCAGATAATTCACACCAGACGGTGCCTTTTCAGAATGAAAACATCTCATATAGAAGAACATTTATCAACAAATATTTTATCCCTCAGTTACAAGATTGCTATGATATCATTATTATTGTTTTTGTTTAAGGGTTCATTTCTTGTCTCTGAATATTAGGCAGCCGAAACGAAAAACTACTATCCCTTGTTTCGCATAAAACANTGGCTCAAGATAATAACATGAAATATTTGGCTCAAGAGGCAGATAATTCACACCAGACGGTGCCTTTTCAGAATGAAAACATCTCATATAGAAGAACATTTATCAACAAATATTTTATCCCTCAGTTACAAGATTGCTATGATATCATTATTATTGTTTTTGTTTAAGGGTTCATTTCTTGTCTCTGAATATTAGGCAGCCGAAACGAAAAACTACTATCCCTTGTTTCGCATAAAACAAAGATTTTTCGGGAGCAAAATACGTATGCACTGTTAATAGTACATTAGGGTACAAGGGCACAAATTTCGTTTTCAACGAATGTGTAGTTTACAGGCCGAGCCGAAGGCGAGGTCTGTACACACATTCGTTGAAAACGAAATTTATTACCGAGTGCTCTATAATATTTTATGTCAAGTCGTGCAAAAGTCGAGTTTTGAGCAAGCTGCGCGAAGCGCAGCGTGCGATAAACTCGACTTATTGCACGGCGCGACATAAAAATTTTTTACTGAAGTTTCCAGGCTTTAGCCTTGAAATATGAAACAAGTGACGATTTCATTGAAATTTCAGGGAATTTTGCCATTGAAAATTCATGGTTTTCGTGGAAAATTCATGGAAATTTCGGAATTTTCATGGTTCTTCCACTGAAAAATCAGGAATTACCTTGAATTTTCAGGGAAACTTGAGGTTTTATAGACTTTTTTCCGTTAAATTGAATTCAGTGTCATTTCCTGGAAAATTCAGTTGAATTTTGTTAACAGTGCGGGAGTATCGAATAACGAAGGTGTAGTGCTAGAATTGACATTTCTTGCGTGTACAGAGAATGCAATTTGTTTTTAACTACTAAATCTATTTTTGCGACAAAAATTTTTCATTCCGGCGCATTCTCTGCATGTTTGGCACAAAAAAATCCTGTTTTGATAATTTTCAAAAAACTATTTTCTTGACACAAGTAAGACTTATTTGAGAACCTTGTCGTTTTTCTGTCAATGCACAAGTATAATTTTTCTGTTCAAGGAACCGTAAATTGGCGCCGGCAAAATACTTTTTTTGCTGCGGATAGTTTACAAATGGTAAAATATCCCCCACCTAAACTATTTTTCATNGTTAACAGTGTGGGAGTATCGAATAACGAAGGTGTAGTGCTAGAATTGACATTTCTTGCGTGTGCAGAGAATGCAATTTGTTTTTAACTACTAAATCTATTTTTGCGACAAAAATTTTTCATTCCGGCGCATTCTCTGCATGTTTGGCACAAAAAAATCCTGTTTTGATAATTTTCAAAAAACTATTTTCTTGACACAAGTAAGACATTTGAGAACCTTGTCGTTTTTCTGTCAATGCACAAGTATAATTTTTCTGTTCAAGGAACCGTAAATTGGCGCCGGCAAAATACTTTTTTTGCTGCGGATAGTTTACAAATGGTAAAATATCCCCCACCTAAACTATTTTTCATTAAATAACGTTTCACTCCGCGATTACCCTTTGGACACTAAAATTTTCCAAGATTTTCTGAATAATTTTTCCCTAACTTGTCCCCCCGTGCATCAATAAACCAAAGAAAAAGAACTGCATTTTTCCTATCATAAAAGAACACTATTTTATCCCCAGAACAATAGCATGTCCGTTTTAGCGTAGCTCCTTGTTCTCCCACACTAAGAATAAAATCCACGACAAAAAAAAACATATTCACCCTCTCTCGAAGTGCGACTATTATGGCAACTGGCTACTCACATATCCATGTACCGGTATTTCCCGATGACAAGAAAAAAATAATCACCGAGGACGTTAGCCGAAGGGTCTCTCCTCTCGATCAGAGGGTATAATAAATTAACGATCATGTGGGCTGGAGGAAGCAACAGAAAAATCATCGTGAAAAAAACATTTTTAACAAAAATCTTTAGCAATTCAAATGTCCCTCACCAAGATTTATCGCGTGATACTCCAAGATTCGTATTCATAGAATGATATTTTACTTCTCGGAAGGGGGGAGAGGGAGGAGAGGGCCATTGACTTCCACAGGCGCACAGGTACCCCAGGAATTCCATCAACCCGTTCGATCCCTTATCACTTCCCTTATCCAAAATATTTATTGAACTTCATGATCATCATTTCACATGGTACACCGAGAGTACACGTAAACTCACTAAACCCCCAATCAGAATAAATCCCCCACGCGGTAGCATCGTAACTCGAAATTACTTTGTTTTTCCGCAAATTCTCAATTTCAATTGAGATTCGACGCGTCAATTTGATTGAATAAATGTGAATAGGTGATTCACAGGGAGGAACTCCACTCAGTTTCAATTAAACCTCAACATTGAATGTTCACTCATCCGTACAGACACCCAGTGATTACCTCAGACTTGCAGTCTACTAAATCATCCCGAGATTTTGAATGCATGTATTTATCCTGTCTCCTGCACGTCAACCGGGACAAGACATTTTCATTATAAGAAAAATCAAGATCCTTAACTACCGAACTGTTTAGCGTAAGTCGCAAGTGGGGGAAGAGTTGGCGGCGGAATTCAAGCGGCTCTACCCCCCAAATCATGTCCTCGCTCGCGACCCAAAATTTCCCTCAATTTGGAATTTTTCAAAATACTGTTCACAACTCATCCGAGACATTCACACGTGTTTCTCTTGCAGGTGCGAGTTAAACTCAGATTTAATTGTCCAGTGAATCAGTTTGCGAGTGAGTTGTTCCAGAAAATCAATAAATAACTGTAACACGCGTAGATTACCCTTTGTTTATACTTGGCGGGTGCTCACCCACTCATTTCCGTTACCCTCTACCTCCCGCAATCACCAGTAGAGGGCTAATTGCTCCGTAAATTTTCTTCTGCGTGCTCCCGAATTATGCAAAAAAGAACAATGATCCTGTAAATTCAAAAATAAGTGACGCAAAACGTATTTTAAAGCTGAAACGACAGTCCACGGACGCAATTGCGAGTTAATCACCGCATATTTTAATGTTTTGGAAACAAGGGACACTCGCTCGATTGTCTTGAGGAGAATAAACGTGGAGGCAGTTGCTCGGGAAAATACACAACAGCGTGTGCATTGGTTTTTGTTTGAAGAACGCATTTCTCGGAGTGATATCGGAGCATTCGAGTTTCTTCAGTTGTTTTGCTGATTGGAAGATTTTTATAGTCCGGGGACTCTTTTGAATAAATTTTATTGAGTTGAATTGAGGGATTTAAAAGGTTATACACGCATATTGAGATGGCACACGAGAAGGGACAGAAGATTTTACTCATCGAGCTGCCTGATGTAGTTTTCAAGACAATTTTGTCAAATCTGTCGTACGACGAAATGGCTCGCAATCGGATCGTGAGTATTTCCACCATTTTGTGTTTATTTTTTTCTCTCAATTATTTGTGATTTATGGATAAGTGAGCATGCCTTGAGATGTGATGGTTATTGCACAGGTATGCAAACATTTTGATCGCACGTGTCAGCAACTGCTCAATCGTGGCTTCAGTCTCATGGAGAAGTACCATGGACAATGCCTGAGAACTGTGAAGAGTCAGCTGCCCAGGAGGGAATCAGAGCGCAGGAATCATCCCCTTGCGAGACACTGCGATGTCCTCACTGCCATCGAAACACGCATATCGATGCTATCCATGACTTTTATGAAATATGTTAATTTACATCTGTGCTGCTTCATCCCTGGGAAGGTAAATGAATTTTTTCTGGTAAATTTTCAATTGGAGTAGTGAAGAATGATGAAACGGACCCAGATCGATGGAGAGTCTTCGATCTTAAACTGCCAAGTCTCAGTTATTGTCATGGAGCCAGCTCGGCCACCTTCAGGGGCCTCAAGTGCTTTCTGACGAATGTCACTTGCAAATTTACTGGAAAGTGAAAACGAATTGTTGTAATGAAAGGAGAATTCGTTGATCGTTAATTGTGAACAAAATTCAGCATAAGCTGACGATCACTGACACAATTACTTTATTATTCATGTGTCAATTTCTGCGATTTGTATTTGTCCACATAGGAAAAAATTTAGCAGAAAGCTAATTCTATAAACAGCTACCTGTTTCTCTAAGAAGTTCTATTCAATTTTTGTTAGAATTCTACAGGAAAATTTTATTGTGTGCTAAATGGAAAAAGGTCGTATTGACCATTTTGGGATTTTTAGGCCAACGAAGTGGAAATAGGTCGTATAAACCTAATCTAGGGAACATGAAATCTGGACGATTTGGACTCTCTAGAATCATTGTAACGCAACTTTTGAGGACAATTTTTTTTATGCATACGACTTTTTCCCATTTAGCGCGCGTTATGTGGTTATCCAATTCTTTTGAAAATTTTGCAGTTTTGCGGTCCATTTTTCAATAGATTTTTTTATCTAGAAAATAGTCAGTGGATGTTGGTTTTTTTGGAAAAAATTTTGAACTAGATTTTTAGATGAGAAATAGATAAAAAGAAAAATCTATGGACTTTTTTATATTGAATTGGCGGAAAATACTAATATTCAATGGCATTCTTCTAAAACTCTTGTAGAGTTCCAATAGAAATTCCATAAAATTTCGTAAAGAAACTGCTCAATTTTTTCATTCAATTTTTCACACATGAAGAACCTAACCTGTCAGTATCTTCAACTCAATATTCCTAGGATTATGGCTGATATTTGTCGTCTATTCAGAATCTTACGGATGATACAATGCTATTTTTGTCTTCATTTTTCGTTGATTGTAATGTTTTGTTCTTCTTTTTCCAAATGGCATAAATTTTCTCTGAAGATGTGAAGAGGGAAATAACTGGAACTGGCAGATATGGCATACACAAGCTTTTTTCATTTTCACAGATATTGACTAGTTGAGCCTGTTTTATGAAAAAATACATAAAATGTTAAAAATAGTCCAGGGCCGCCAATTTTTAAGCTACAGAGGGTTTTTTTTTTAATTTTTGAAAAAATGTGTACAATAACAATTACGAATTAGTTTTTTGAAATTCGAGTCCTACATAGTTAATTTCGGTTTTTCTTATAAAAAATTGCAAAATTGAAAAAATGTTTCTGAAAGAATCGAGAATATATTTTAAATATTATAAGGATATTTTTTTATCATTTTACATGAATGGCGCAAATTTTTATATTAAACAAAACGAAATTAGCTGTGTAGGGGTCGAATTTCAAAAAACCAATTCGTAATTTTTACTGTACATATTTTTTCAAAAATTTTCAAAAAAAACCTCTGTAGCACAAAAATTGGAGGCCGTAGACTATTTTTAATATTTTAAGCGTGTGCGGGGCAATCGAGCAATAAACAATTCATGGTTTTGCACTAATTATTCGTTTTCAGACATATATAATCGATCTTCAATGCATGAGAAATCTCACTTCAACCGCCCACGACTTTTAAAACTCATAGTAGTCTCCCCTTAAAAATCTCCTTCTATAGATGATTTTCACAAAGTGATGGTTTATGGAGGTATTATCAATGTCCGATGTTCATATCAGGTTATCGACGAAATCCTGCGAGTCCTCCGTTTGATAAAAGACACCAAATACCCACCTCGAGCCCACGAGATTCTCCAGGAACTCAGGGACATCAGCAGCATGGCAATGGAGCACTTCGACGAGAAGATCCTCCCAGCCCTGAAACAGAGTGTCTGTACGTCAATGGTCAGTGGTGTAAGTTCCTACGAACTTCCTGGGGGCAGTCTCATGATATCTCACCACAATCCATCGCCCACATCAAGCCTCTACGGTCATCACTCAGTGACCCATGACAATTGGAATCGCACAATGAAGAAGGTCTTCTTGAGAACAAGAAGGAACAAACAATCATTTTTAAGCGTTCAAGGGAGAATAAGCAAAATAAGACTGAGGATGAAGAGGCAGGCCTGCCAGATTCGTTTGCAGAGTAAAAAATTGCAGGACCAATCGAAGAAAATTCACGACCAAGAACAGCAGATATCTGAGATGCGGCGTCATTTCGAGGAGTGGGAGCAGAAAATTGGTGATTTGACTGCTGAACTCAGTCGCGCCAGGGAGGAGCCCCTGAAGGGAGAGAGCATTGAAGGCTGTAAACGCAAACGTATTGATGTAATGAAACGTAGCAGCGATAATAAGGATCTTGAGGCGAAGAAACGTAAACTCATTGTCGAACGTAAACCGTCGATGGATGCCCAAGATGCCAAATTCAAAGAATACATCAAGTCACAACTCCTTGACAAGTAAAAATCACTGAGCTCATAATTTTTTTATCATTTAACTGCATCCTATCTCGATCATAATCATCTAATTGTGTAAAAATATACACTAGGTTAATGACATTCAAATAAATCATTATTGTAAATTAATATGATGTATATTGGAATTGAATTCATGGTTTCCGTAGCTATGGGACACATTTTTTAGCACTGAGAAAGATTTTGTGAATCAATAAACATTTGTATCTTAGTGTTATTGAATTTTTGTTTTTTTTCGGTTTGAGAAGAATTCTGTTACGAATTGGTGAGAGGAGTCTTCTCCTCTTTTGAAAGGGAATTTCAATGATAATATTTCAATTTCCTCATTATAATCTTAGTCTACATAGAAAAAATGAAAGATAGATTGAAAATTCCACAATCGAGAATTTTGCATTATCGGAATTATTTGTTTATATTCTCAAGTTTAAAAAAAATTGGGAGAATTTTTTAAAATAATGTTAATGGACTTTTTCTGCTAAGAAGCTGGTCATAAAAATGAAGTTGGACTATGAGAAATTAGATAAATTAGTAAACAATACTAATTCAGTGTCAATTGATGACTTTCTGCACGATATTTGAGCTTCTTCAGGCTCTCAACATCAACAAACATAGAAAAGTTGATACAAAGTACTCAATTTAAAAATTTCCCATGTTTCAACTTAATTCCAAGAAACATGTAAAGCTACAAATACAGCTATTCAAAAATTTATATTTTTATCAGGGGCAAAGGGCGAGTTTTATGTTTGCGAGATATATGATTCGGTTTGAGTGCTACGTTGAGACGAATGTTCTTGAGGTCTTCATGAAGTTTTCTCAGTTGATCATCAGTCCATCTCGTCTCTCTGATGCACAGTTCGTCAGGCTTACGAGGTCGTATCTTTTTTACTTTCAAGGGATTATTTGATAAATACGTAGAGAGGAGATTCGACGTTCGGTCGTCTGCGAAGGGAGAATAATAGTCATTCAACTGATGCCATTGTTATCAATATTTCAAGTGAATTGGAGTAGGATGGTTTACCTTCAGGGGATTCTTTCGTTGGTATCTCTTCGGAATCCTCCCCAGACTTCAATGTATCGTCTTCAAGTCTAAATTTCATGTAGGACTCTACTTTCGATGCTGAAAAACATTTTTTAGGATCCAAAGGGACTGTGGTAGCTTTGTCGCGGTACTTTCCAGTGAGTTTTCGTATGTTTCTGTGGAATTCATTTTTTATATCTTCGATTCTCTTCTCCCGGATTTCGCTCAGGCATTTTCCAACTTTATCGAAACGCTCAGCGAGTCGTAATTCTCGGGCATGATTCACGGACTCCAGGAGATCCTTCGTTGCATCTAGCTTCCAATCTGCAATTCTTTGCAGCTCCTTTAATAAAACGAATCCGGCTAATTTCATAATTAGAAGTAGTAATGGTCTGGTTCAGCGCCTGAATGGTGGCATTCAAATATTCTGTCATAGGATACCTTAGGACTGTTATGGGATACCCTAGCAGGGTAGGGATACCCAAGATTCAATTGTTCTATTGAACTTTCTATTAGTTTTTGGCTGATTCTATTAAAATGTTCAATTAAAAATAATCTAAAGAAAACATCAAAAGAATTCGGTTTCTCTATGCAACTGATTCTATTGAGATATTTTCTAGAGAATTTTCTCGGCTCAAATTTTCTAAGCTTTTGTTTGATCATCTTGAGAAGAAAAGAAAAATATAATGAAAAAAACTTGGAAAATTTCTGCGGAGGAAATTTTCTAGAAATATCTGAAGAGAATAAGTTATATAGAAAAATCGAATTTATTGACTTTTTCTATCGAATATATTCTATTGAAAATTTTCAATAGAATCAACCAAAAACTAATAGAAAGTTCAATAGAAATCCAATAGAATTTTCTAACGAATTCACTAAGTTTTTCTATTAATTTTTTTCCTGTGTGATCTCAAATTGTTATGCAGTATGGTTAGTGAAACAAAAATCATTCATACTTTATCTCGGAAAGCCCATTCCTCCTGATCAATCAGGCAGATAATAAACTCCTGAGTTTTTTTATTCGTACAATCTACAGGTGACAATAATGTCTGCCAAGCCCGTTTCCTCCTCATTCTTTTAATCTTCTCAACTTCATATTTTCCAACGGGTAGACCATCATTCCATCGTAAATCGGTGAGAGTCAAAATTTCAGGATTCACACCTGGTGAAAATAAATATCCTCAGAATTAATTAAAATTTCATCCTCAGCACTTTGTAATATTCACTCGGACGTCTCAATATACCTGGAGGTATGCGCAGCGGCGGTTCCCACGGATCAGTCTGTGCCTCGCTCTCCCTATAATCCGTTTGAGTTCCTTTAGTTTTACTCTTTGGTTTCTCCTTAATTGGCTTATCATCGGCCTCTGTTTTGCCGAAGCTATGAGAGATTTTATCAAAATTATACAACTGCATTTTGTCGCGCACAAGTTAAAATGAAATCCTCTATTCAACCCACAGGAATGTGAGAAACTCTTAACTACTCCCGGAATGTATCTACTATTGATCAAACTGATTCCCCCGGAAGGATGTAAAAAAGGAAACCTCATGTATACACCAATTACATGTTTATTAATCAACCATTATTACAAGCACGTAAAATAATAATCACAGAAGTTTATATACATTCCATTAGAACCACCAGTACGCCATTATATCAATTAAATTCATATGATTAAATATACTCGTATAAATAGAACTCACACTACGTCAGTTATGTTTAGTATTATAAAATAGTGAAGTGCTTTGAACATTCATTCTGAGGTGCAAGATACTTATGATTATGTTTATGATTCTCCAATATCCGGAGTTCAGACACACACTTACGGAGATTAAACAAGTCAATTTATTTATATCCAGGGCATGACAAAGTATTCTTTTATGCATGAAGGACCCAGGAACTGTGGACAATGAGTAGAATAAAAAAAAATGTACACCAGTCAAAATTAAACTCTCTATTTTAGAGTGAAATACCTTTGGATTCATTTCTAGATTTTACTAAATGAAGTAAGACAATTGATCAATTCTCAATTATCAATCGTTTGATAAATTTAACAATTGTGGATACAATTATTCACTGAATCATCTCAGTTTATTCACAAATGATGAAGAAATGGGAGAATTGTACCTTGCCAAGCCCTCTAATTAGAATTATAAATAAATGAATCAATTAATTAATGATGATAAAATCTTAAATTATTCATTCATACTAAATGAAGTACCACAATCAATAAATTAATTACGTAAATTATTAATTGAACGATGAATCGAATAATTGTTGATCCAATTATTCATTGAATCCTCCCAGTTTATTCACAAATGATGAAGAAATGGGTGAATGATAACTGAATGAATAAATTCATTAAAGATGATAAAATCTTAAATTCTTAATTCATACTAAATCAAGTACCACAATTCAGTAGCGAGGCGGTAAACAGGTTTAAGTCGATTTAGACTATTGGTCAGTTTTTAATGAATATCTCGGAACCTAAGGGAGATAGCAAATTTTTTTAATGACCTTTTTTATCGAGCGAATTAAGATCCACAAAAATGGTAACGATGACAATTTCGCTATTTCGCTTAGATTCGGGGATATTCCTCAAAAACTAAGCGAAGAGGGAAGTCAACTTAAATCGGTTTATCGCTTCGCTACTGAATTAATCAATTGTCAATTATCAACCGACTGATAAACCTGACGATTGTTGATCGAATTGTTCAGTGAATCCTCTCAGTTTATTCACGAATGATGAAGAAATGGGTGAATTATAGCTTGCCAAATCCTCCGATTAAAATCATAATTGAATGAATAAATCCATTAATGATAATGAAGTCTTAAATCCGCAATTTATCACAATTTGATAACCACTTTAACTGAAATACCCATTCCCAGAGACACCCAAGTGCTCCGGCCAGCTCTGATGCATCGAAATATTCTTGCAGGACTGTCCCTCTAACATATCCTCAGGACACATGCACTGCAGCTTCATCCTGTAAATCGTCATCTGTCCCAGTGCCAGTCTCGAGTTCTCTCTGTCCAAACCTTCTCTATATAATTTGTAGTTGACCCCTCGCTCAGCCAGACACTTAGCAATGATGTTCTCCCTCTCATCCAGCTCCACCTTCTCCATGATCTTCTCTTCCCTCAGTCTGATGCACTCGAGATCCTGCTGAAGTAAAACGAGGGAAACTTCAGAGGGAGGAAGCCAGTAAGTCGAGAAGATCAGATCAATTGAAGTCGTCTTATCATCTTTCGTGAACGAGGGCAACAAAATTCCGGTTGGTGGCTGCCTCTGCACATTTTTCTCTCCATTCTCCTCCACAGATTTACTTCGTTTTGGTCGTCTGTTGGAACGCCTTCGTTCAATTCTTCTATTTATATCCATTAAATGAATCTTCGGTTTAATCGGGATTAACCACCTCTTCGATCTCTGCCCCAAGAAACTGAATTCTTTATTCTCATCGTTGGATCTGATCTCATCTTGAGGAGAATCTGGTTCCATGGCGACATTCCAGAAGTTGGGATTCCACTCCTGATTAGCGAAATTGGTTAATTCTTTCTTGAACCCTGGGAGTTCGTTGAAGAGGAGGGAATTCTCTGAGTTCAAATCTTTGAAGCCCTCATCTGGCTTCAGCATGTATTCACTCTGGTCGTCTTGTCCCTGATTCCCTTGGCTCTTGAAAATGTCGGTTTTTACTTCCCCAAGTTCTACTCTTGGAGATCTCTGTGACATTGGGAGAACATCGTCGTCTCCTGGGAGGTTCCTATCATTGGAGAACAGATATTTCTCTGTTTCCTTCCTGGGATCGATGGAGTTATTCAATTCCACTGCTTTCCAGTCGTCAGAGAAGTAGATGCTCTGCCCAGGGGGACCCACGTGCTGACTCATTGCTGATAATCTCATACTCAAAGTCGTGTTAAATCTTAATTTACACAAATCAGCTCTGCTTTGAGAAAGAAGTGTCTGCCCATTCAAAAATCTGTACTTCTCGTTTATGTTCTCGTTAACATTCTGGTCCATGCAGTTGGCAGACCAGTGCAGGAACCAGTCGTTCCCAAGGCCATTGACAGAAATTGATAAACCTGACATCTGGCCATTGGCGTTGTCCTTGATGGGAGTCTCCAAGAAGGGCTGACCTGTTTTTCCACTCAGGATCGTTGTTAGGGAGTGATAGTACACTGGGAAGCCGGGACCTATCTGGTGCTTCACCATTATGTCAGGAATGTTGTCATCGTCGTAGTAACCAGGTATTGGGATACTTATTACTTCGGACTGGGGGACTGTGTAGTTCCATATGGGCTGGAAGTTCAGACCGTTGTATGCTGTTATTGTCGAGTCTAGGGCCACTGTGATGATGTCTTCGGTTCCATCGAGGGTCACGTCCACTAGGATTGGGGGAAGAAGGACTCCTTTACCTTGACCCTGCTGCAATTGTCTCTTTCGCTTCTGAAAGATGAATTTCAACAGTCATAACTGTATTTTTGTAATCACTGATTAGAGAATTTGATTCATGTCATGCAATAAAAAATTCTACTTCGTTGGAAAAATTTCGCATCAGTTGAGCATTTTAATTGAGGGGTATTATTGTATCATCTTTCGAACGTAATCATCGTCATTCTTTTCATTTTTATAATTTAAAATATTCATCAATTTCTATTTACATAGCGCTGGAGTTCCCAAAAATTATGGTTGCGCAATAGCAAAAAGTTAAAACAAGTGGGAAATTGCTTTCGTCACAAAATAGTCTATATATTTTTGCTGATAAATTAACAATTTGCTTCCGAATGGAATTTCTATGACAATGCATTTTAAAATGAATTCAATGCAATCTCATCATCGAATTCGGTTAAAATGGCCTTGGGAAGAATGACCGCAAGGCCAATCATTTTCTATTTTATTAATATTGGACGATCAGTAAAAATAATTTCAACAATTGGAAACAATATTTCAAATCACAAATGGATTCATTTCCTTCACGTCCTTCAGTTCAAAAAATAGAATCAATTCATTTACCAAATTCCCATGCAACAAATCATGTTGCCTGATGATATAAACTCCTCCCGATTGATCTGGTGTGCATGAAGACAAAATGTAAACAATCTCGCCATCGGGATGCACCAGGACCTGGGGAGCAATGAAGAGCTGCTCCTTCTTCGAGAAATCGATGCTCTTTATGACCGTTCCATTTTTTCCTGATAACAAAATCACTCTGCTTGATCGTAATCTTCCAGCCTGGGTTGTATGTGACACAACGACATCGCTGATTCCATCTGCATTGACGTCAGTCATGCTCCTAGCATCGTAGACGTTGAGAATGATCTTCTCGTCTGCGATGGAGTACTGCTGGGCTGGCAATTCCCAGAGAGTTTTTCCATTGTTACCATCGATTGCCTGGAGGATCCCTCCTCGTCCTGTGATGATGCAGTCTTTCATTTTGTCGTTCGTGAGGTCTGAAATGCAGTCGATGGAGAAAATTGCGTGATTTGTCCAGTGCGTCCACAGGGTTTCACCTGATTTTCCATCTAGAGCCATTACTCCACCTAGACATGGGATTTGACCCTCGAAGTACAGGTTACAGAGGAATTCTGGTGCATCTAATGCATCCAGCCCTGAAAATATTTAAAAAACTATGTGATTTGATTTCTCAAAAGATGAGCAAATACTCAAGTGGGAGAGAAGATTCGCGAGATTGACCAACTTCCGAATGTGGAACTTGCATGAAACTCAATTCTTTCTAATTCCTCTACTCACACATTCCTCATAACATATGGATAGCTAAACGGCGAAAATTATGGAGAAATATTGCCTAGATGTCTTATGATAATTAATTGAAAATCAGCCGTTTTTACGTCACAAAGACGGTCAGGTAACGCTTCATTGGTCGAAAAAGAAGAGAGTGGGGAGTGTGATGTCATTAGCGATTTCAAAACGCTTGAAATCTTCAACTTTTAATAATTAATTATTAATTAAAGGGAGACTACACTGAGAGAAAAACACATTGTCAAACAAGTCTTGTTTGGGCCAACAAAATCACTAGTTGAAAATTGCCAAAAAAAAATTATTTGGTTCGCATTTGAAAGTTTCAAACATGAATAATCGTTCTGCTTTCGACAGCAACGAAATATTTGGCTCAAGAGGCGGATAATTCACACCAGACGGTGCCTATCATATCATTATTACTGTTTCATTTAAGGGTTCATTTCTTGTCCGTGATTATTATACAGTCGAAACGAAAAACTACTATCCCTTGTTTCGCATAAAACAAAGATTTTTCGGGAACAAAATACGTATGGGAATATCGAAGAACGAAGGAGTAGTACTAGAAATGACATTTCTTGCGTGTACAGAGAATGAAATTTTTTTTTGACTACTAAATTTATTTTTGCGACAAAAATTTTTCATTTCGGCGCACCCTCTGCATGTTTGGCACAAAAAAATCCTTTTTTGATAATTTTCAAAAAACTATTTTCTTGGCACGAGTAAGACTTGTTTGAGAACTTTGTCATTTTTCTCTCAGTGTACTATGAATTTTAAAAGGCGCAGGCAATTGGAATGACATTTCTCATACATTGAAAATCAAATATATACGTATAAAAACGAATAATTAGCGCAAAAAAAATTAATTGTTTATTGTTCGTTTGCCCCGCAGACTTTTAAAATGCTGAAAATAGTCCAGAGCCTCTAATTTTTGAGCTACAAGTGTTTTTTTTGTGTGCAATAACAATTACGAATTAGTTTTTTGAAACTCAACTTCTACACAGCTAACTTCATAGCTAATTTCGTTATTTTTTAAATAAAAATTGCAACATTCATGTAAAATAGCCCGAAAAATGTTTCTGAAAGAATCGACAATATGCTTTAAATATTTTAAGGATAATTTTTCTGCCCATTTTACACGAATAGTGTAAATTTTTTTTGCTGTGTAGGAGTCAAACTTCAAAAAACTAATTCGTAATTATTACTGAGCACATTTTTTCAAAGATTAAAAAAAAACAAACCCTGCAGCTCAAGAATTAGAGGCCCTCAACTATTTTTAACATTTTAAACGTCTGCGGGCCAAACAAACAATAAACTATTAATTTTTTGCATTAATTATTTATTTTTAGACATATATAATCGATCTTCAATGCATGAGAAATCTCACTCCAATAGCCCGTGACTTTTAAAACGCACAGTAGTTCCCCCTCAATGAGCAATATTTCGAACGTTTGTGAATGAAAAATGAATTTAAATAGAAAATTGAAAAAAATTAATGCAAGTTCCCTATTCTCATAAAAAATGGAAACTAAACAGGAAGAATCCTAAAGTATTCGGAACATTTCTGACTCTGAGAATAGCAAAGGAAATCAAAAGAAATCATTCAATACTTTTCAAATATTACTAAACGGTGGACACAATAAGCACTAAAAGAAAACATTATTGAAACAGAACTAAATGTTGGATACATTATGAAAAATCTGATAATAAAAAGAAACAAAATAATCACCTTGATGAGCGACAGAACACAAACGAACATAAAAAAGTATCTTTCAACATCTGCAACCAACAGAAACAAAAATAATAAATTATAATCATGAAATAATAATCAATAACATTGATAATTATGTTTTCCCCGATATGCACCTGTGCTGAACCCAAGGATGATGTCTTCAACGCCATCGCCATTGACATCAAGACTCCTCAGTGGAGCCTCTGATGTTAATTTTGGCATCGTCCTCATCCAAACGACGTTGGTGGCCAGAGAGGTGCAGGGGAGAGGTTCATTCTCTCTGCTGACTTTACTTATGGTGACTTCCAGGGTCACGCCTCCAGAGAACAGATTCTTCAGCATGCCGAATGGCACTGGGAAGATGTTGACGGTCAGGACACAGAGTAACATCAGCCCGAGGAGGACCACTAATGCCATCAATCCGTAGCACAAGGGGATGAGAAGGGCTTTGAATGTCAGGGGGGGAGTATGGAGATGGCCCAATTTTTGCTTCCTTCGGGGAGCCATCAGGGGTCTTTTCACTCCACTTTCATCATTGATCTTGAGGATTCCATCTTTTTTCCCGTCTCTGATGAAAACCTCGTCATCGATATCTGTCAATTCCTCATCGTCAAAACTGTCTCGGACAGATAGTCGAGGAGCACTTGGATATCCGTTCGCCATGATTATCTATAGTTGACAATAATTAATTCCATTCAATTATAGAATTTCAAATCTGAGAAAAATATTTGGTCAAGAATAGGGAGAACATGGATGAGGAGAAAGTTCTAGCAAAAAAATCGTGTGCTATTCAACAACCGATAGGACAAAAATATGGTCACCAAAAAATTCAGATGTGGCACCAGAATTTTTAAGGGGATCCCACAGAAAAGTACTGTAATATGTTTAAAAATTAGAGTGCTACATACGAATTTTTTCGTGACCCCTATTTGGAGCCATGGCTAGTACGTACGACATTAATCTTTGAAGGGACTAGCACAGGATTTTCATGCATTTTTCTCTCCAGGTGGAGAAAGATTAAGAGGTCGAAACAAATGCAAAGGAATTCACCAATTGAGCTAAGTCTGGAGTTATTACAGATATCCAAGCATCTTTTACAGTTTGGTACAGACCGCACCATAGATTGAATCATTTTCAATCATCAACTTTGTCGATTAAATTGCATGATAAAAATTTGAATAAAATTATGAATATTCAGCATCATTAAAATTACATTTTGCGCAGAATTATTATTTTTTGAAACATTCTTTGTTTATAAATAAATAATTGGATTTCTTTAAACTTTCGGAAACCTTATGTTTTTAGGCATGAAATCTATTTCTGGTAAAATTCAGAATATGAATAAATTTGTTACGCATTCGAACAAATGATTTTTATGGCGGAAGATTGATTGTTTATAAATTATTTCCAGGAAATGCTCGTAATTTTCAAAATTTGTAATTTTGAAATTATTTCATCAATCTGTCTCTAAAAGTAAACTTTATAATTTTTTTTTTTCAGATTTAAAAAATGTTTTCTAACGATTCAATACCGAGATCCAAATTCAGACCCGCAAAGTTTAAATAATAAAATCATTGTAAAATATCCGGAAACTTTGGATCAAATGGGACTCAAATAATCGAAAAATAGTTGAACTTTGATTTAACCAATGAAATGAGTCTAGAATGAGCTCGATTGATTGTTTTCATAAAGAAATCGGTCAGTTATTGACATTAAAAAAAGCCAAGAATGTCCATTTTGCCTCTGTTTCATTTGAAACGCGGAACTTTTTAATCTGAAGATAAATATTCTTATTCATAAATTTGAGAATCATCAATTCAACGAAGCGAAAGCTCATGTATGAAGTACAATATTCTGTATTTAAGATTATTAATTTTCCCATGCAAAATTGTGGAGGAGAAAAGTCATGAAGCAACATCACAGTAGTAGACTATGGAAGCGACAATTGAGTGTGTGGAGCACAAAAAAGAGTTTACCTTGTTCAATCAGCCATCAATGGTTGAAACTCGGGCTCATCCAATTATTGATTGCTTTACTTCTATGTTGATGATTGAATTAATGTTGGCGATGTTGAGAAAGCCGAACGAAGCAACAAGAATCTCGCACGTCCAAGAAACGATGGATGTCCAATTTTGAGGTTGGGGCTTTCTCCACAACAAAGCAGAATCACACAATCGCCATCGAAATTCGCCTTAAACTAACGAGTCCACACACCAATAAGGGGTAGGACCAGATAAAAATATCTGAACACAAATAATCAACACAGGTAGAATCCACGAAATCGGGAAAACGCAAAGGACACGAGCGGATAATAACCCGAACTGAGAAAACCGCTTTGTATCGACCTTCTACGAAAATAAAATAAAAACAATGAATCTTGTCCAGAAATTGCAAGGGTCATTTGGGACAACCACAAGGGTCGATCAATCATGATTTAAACGACGTAGATATCTCTTCACTTTTACCCTGACGATTGTCCCATCTGCCATTGCCCTTTGACCCACGCATGATCCTGGTAAGGTTTAAGGTGTTTCTCCGGAAAAGTCAAAATAGTGAAAAGAGATTGAAAAATTCACGAGAGAGAAAATTCTGAGTATGCTGCGTCATTAAGAATTCTTGCACATTTTTTTCAGATCTCAGTCCCAAGAAAAAAAATAATAAAATTTGAATGTTTTTGTAACCCCTGCAGCTATAACTTCCGAAGTTATCCCACTATGCCAGGGATAATGCCAGTGAAATTTCCATGGCATCCAAAAAAATAATGAACTATAGAGGAAAAACTAGTGGATGATAAATTAAATCTTTCTTGAGAACAGTATAAGTTTCAGATTTTTTTCAGATTTCATAATAAAGTTATTCGAAAAAATGTTCGGAAAATTATGAGTTTCGGGGCAATTAGACCCTCACGCCTGCGCGTGAGGGCGTAATTGCCCCGCAACTCATAATTTTCCGGATCATTTGTTCAAAAAACTTCTTTATGAAACCTGAAAAAAATCTGAAACTTATACGTGTTCTCAAGAAAGATTTGATTTATCCCCCACTAGTTTTTCCTTAATAGTTCATTATTTTGTTGAGTGCCATGGAAATTTCCCTAATTGAGAGTGGGGTAACCTCGGAGGGTACAGCTGGAAGGGTTACAAAAACATCCAAATTTCATTATTTTTTTTCTTGAGACTGAGAACTGAAAAAAATGTGCAAGAATTCGTAATGATGCAGCATACTCAGAATTTTCTCTCGTAAATTTTCCAATTTTTTTTTCATTATTTTGACTTTTTAGGAGAAACACCTTAAGCCAATTCCATTCTAGCGCTGGTTCTCGATAAATATCTAAAATTCTAAAGGAGTTAATAAAATTTTTTCAGAAATCTTTTTTGTAAAGAAAAATGAAGACTATCGAAAAAGATAGTACAAAAATTTCGCTATCTTTTTTAAATTCCGAGTTATTCAACAAAAACTCCGCTGGGAGTTAAGTCGACTTAAACCGATTGACCACTTCACTACTTAGGGGAGGTTGGGGTAAAATGGACACTTTTGACTTTTTTAAAAATGTTAATGACAGCTTGAAATGTTGATGAAATTCAATAATTTTTGTTTCGATACAGTAGTACATCACATGCCCGAGCCTTGAGGATGGCAAGCACGTGGGGGAGGGTGATATGTTTTCCATGGCGAGGTGTGTATATTAATTTTCGTCTCCAGGGACCTGAAAAGAACATTTCTTCCCCTTTGTAATGAGCCTAAACTGAGCTCAATTGATAAATTTGTTTCTGAGTTATGAGTAATTTTAAAAAAGTCCAAAGTGTCCATTTTACATCCTCCCCTATATTATATTTCGTCGCGAGTGCGGAATAGTGGTCTTTTACTCGATCGAACTCTATGAGTCGAATCGAAATCGTCACTTTTGCGATAAAAAACGCAAATATTTTTTTTTACAATTCTAGTATTTGCATAAATATCAAAATAATTATTGATAGAAATCACATATTTTTTTCTCATAAATTCAATAATTAATCTCGCCCCCGTTCACGGCAAAAGAGTAGGTCATTCCTCTGATCTCTCGAGGAGATTCTCTCGTCTTGCCTCGACTTCCACGTTCTCTTGTGACCGCTCCTTCCAATTCGCCAACTCAGAGGTAAAATTTTTCAATAAAATTTTCAAGAATGAAAATAAATCGTGCAACGTTTTATTTTTCACATTATCACAATGAGATCATACACAATTTACCACTTTCTTAAGTCATAGTTCACACTGTACATATACTTTTTTACACTTCAATGTCTGGCTCTGCAAGTGGCAACAAAAGACTGGCACTAGCAATTGGCTTAATTTTTCCCTTCTTACACAACAATATCTGTACCTTCTCAGCTACCGCGGATGTAGGCGTAGCTTTCACCACAACAGGAATTGGAATTCCACTTGGTAGCAATGGTAATTCTACAACTCTCGGTTTTATAATAGTCTCTACTCCCCTGAAGACGAGGAAAAGTGACGGTTCTGAAGGTTCTTCAGATAAATTTGTCACGATAGTACGCAAGACATAAGTTGGACCTAAACCAAGAACACTAGCTTCCATAGTAATCGGATTGATGCTGGGTTCCTTTCCAGAATTTAACTCCTGTTGAGCTTTTTTCGCTACCGTCAATCTCAACCGCAGGAATCCTTGCTGAAATGTATTATGTATTTTCTTCGCTTCTGCTCTTTCTCTGATTGTCTGCTCGACGAATAAACGAGTTTTCTTCGGTATTGCGAATGTACTTTGGCCTAGTTCGGTAATGGAATGAGATGTGCCCGGTCTCGCTGAGAAATTTGCTGTTCTCTTCAATATTTTGACAGCTAAACCCCCGGGAATTGTTACCATAGCCATTGCACGTTCTTCCTGACCCATGCGACCGTACTAGAAAAAATAATTTCCATTTCTATTTGCTATAATAATATATTGTTTTGATTGTTGAGAAGATGAAGAAAAAATTTTCAACATTTTCATTTATAAAAACATGAAAGACAATTAAATGAGGTAAAAAAATACGATTCCGAATCACACAGAGTTTTTAGGCGATTTGTTGTAGTTTTTAAAAATCTTTGAATTGAAATATAACCTCCTTAAGGGTAGAGCTACTTTAAATGAAATTTCCCAGGATGCGATGTTGCCGGAATTTCGCTAAACACGCCCGGGCAGTATAGAGTGAATTCGGCAACGCTAAAACCTACATAACACGGCGGCGAATCCCCACGGAGGTGACCAAGTCGCAGGGTCGCGATTGGTGACCAAACTAGGGTTAAGAACGTCTGACTCTTCTGACTGCTTGTCTCTCCCGTTTGACTCTTCGCCGTTTCTTAAGTAATGGAGACGAAAAACTACTTGTTAGAGGCTCTGGTTAGAGGCATATTGGTTAGTGTCGAACTTCCCCTCAATTTTTTTGTCTCGCCGCTCGAGCGTTTCCCCCACTCTGTCCCCACGCAAGCCGGAGAGTAAACACTCCAATATTTTCTTCAAATTGCTATTGTCTTCCGATTCCAGTAAAGACGAAAAATAAAATATTCTGCATTTGAATTGTCGATCAAAAAATTTAGTCCACTTCTGGCTGTTATGGGGGGAGGGGTAAATGTTGGGAGGGACCGCCTCAGACGAAAATCGATTTTAAAAATGATAAATTGATTAAATTAGGTATGCGGATTACGAATCGCGGAAAATCAAGGGTCGGAAATGCATTCCTGAGGTGTGGTGAATTGTTTAAGAATGCCATCGTGTCTAGCGCGTAAGAATGTCGTGTTACCGTGTTGTGTTGCCGAGTACAGTACACGTGCCGTATTGTTTACATTTTAGGCACTGTTGCGATTATTCGGGGGATTAACACGGGCACCCGACGAGAGTGTGGTCAGTCGTGTTTATTCTACAGTGCGATAAACATGGATTTAGAAGCGATATTTGAGCAGTGTTCCGATCGGGAGAGAGCTCTTCAATTCTTGCGTACAAAAAATGTGATTTTAAGTGAAGTGGTGTGTCACAAGTGTGGTAAACCTATGACCCTCAATGATCAAGGTGATCAGTTTAGTTGTCGGAGGAAATATCACACTGTTGATGGCCACAGGAGGAAAGTGTCTCGACGGTGCGATACCAGGCTGAGTGCATACCATGGTTCATGGTTCATGTACTCCATATACCCATCCCAAAGGCTATGAAATTCATAGCCTTATACCTCACGACAAGTCTCCCACGACAAGAATTCTTGGAGTGGGCCCTCGGCTTGTCACATCCTACTGTGGTTGACTGGTCCAACTTCATCCGTGAAGCACTTGTGGACTGGTGTGAAGACCATTCCACAAGGTTAGGCGGACCGGGTGTTGTTGTGGAAATCGACGAGACCAAGGTCGGCCACAGGAAATATAACAGAGGTCGGATTATCGATGGAAGATGGGTATTTGGTGCAATGGAAAGGGAATCCAAAGCCCTTTCTATCACCGTGGTGCCTGATCGGGGAGCTAGAACCCTGACGGGGATCATCAGGAGATGGATTCGACCAAAAACGACGATCATCTCTAATCAGTAGAGGGCATACGCGCGCCTGGGACACGAAGGATACAGCCACCTCACGGTAAATCACTCTGTCGCCTTCGTGGATGAGGTCACAGGAGCTCACACGAAGGGGATTGAAAGGACGTGGAGAGACCTGAAGGGCGACCTCCCGAGATACGGCACCTGCGAGGAACACTACCACGGATATCTGGCAGAATTCATGTTTAGGCGCTCCGTAAAGTTAGCCGACAGGTTCGAAACATTCTTTAATACTGTAGCTACGCATTATAAACCATCTGTCATCTCACCTGAGGGGGGGACACGTATGAAAAAATCGTATAGGAACTTTCTATACGGATTGTGTATAAGAATTCTATAGGATTACCGTATATGATATTCGGATATTTCTATACGAATATTTTCTATACGAATTATTTCTATACATAAATATTTACATAAACTTTTGTTTTTATACAAAAGATGTCTAAACGCTCCAGAGAAAAACGTAGAGAAATGTCGCAACTCCTAACGAAATGTTTCTATACAGGAAGAAGTGGGTCGTATAGGATCAAACCTGTAGAAATCGTATAGAAATTATATAAAAAATATCCGTATAGAAATATCCGAATATCATATACGAAAATCCTATAGAAATTCTATACGCAATCCGTATAGAAAATTTCTATACGATTTTTTCATACGTGGGATGGGCTGAATTGCCCCTCCCCTACCTCGAGCATAGTCGTGAGTCATTATTATTATTATTAAATTTAATATATGCTGTAAGGTGGCACAGTGGCGGACTGCACGGCTGTGTTCGGGGTGGGTGGTAGGTGGGTTGCTTGGCCTAGACTACCCCTCATCCATCTTTGTGTTGTCCGATTGTCTTTTATATATTAAAATGTGTTGTCGAGGGACCAGAGGACCGCCACCTCCACGTGGTTGGTCCCGGGTAATGCAAAGAGCGGTGAGATCGCGTGGCTCAATTTCAACCCTTTAGAATCGTTTCCGACACTTGAAAATATGTGTGGGGCCTAGTTTTAGGGTCCTAAAAACATGGTCTAAATTTGAAAAAGATCGGAGGTGAGGAGGTCTTTCTTAACATTTACCCGCGAGGGTCAGATTAAGGGTCATGAGGGTCAAAATAAGGTTCACGAGGGTCAGATTAAGGGTAATGAGTGGGTCATATAGGGGTTGGCGAGCGGAGCGAGCAGAGGGCGTAGCCCTCTAAGTACTAGTATAAAATTCAATAGACTAACAATACCTTCATCGCTGATACGGGTTCCATCATATTAATCGTGTCCACGTGATGCTGTCCATCATAAATGAGAACACCAGAGCGTGGTACACTGATGGCTAATAAAGAAAGTCCCGTCTGTGGAACTGGAAGACTCGTAAGATCTAGCACCAGTCCAGGTAGCTGAATCCTCCATAATTTAACTCCATTGCCCGAGAATCCGCACAATGTACCGTCCATCAAAGCCACTGCAGCACCATCACAAGTGAGAGTGGAAATGGCAACGGCAGGGGCTGGTAATTTCTCCCACAGATTTATTGTATCCCATCCTTTCCGCACCGCTCCTATTCTTCCGTCTCTGGAAATCACAAATATTCGACCGTCGCCGGACCAGAGACCGGTACTGGTCACCGCCACTGGTGCCCAACCGATGTGATGCTTGTCCACCAGTGAAAATGACCTGGGATGCAATATTAGTATTTCTCCAGACTCAGTACCCACTATTATGCAACTACTGGCTGGCTCATTCCACGAGTCTTTGCGAATTAAACCGATGGTTGAGACAGCATTCATGCGGATGAGAGGGAGGCGACGGTATTGCTCGGCAAATTCAACTCGGAGATTCTCATCCATTGACAAGAATTTTATGGTTCGAGGGGAGATGAATGCTGCTCCTAGTTCTTTGAAGAGGAGCTCTAGGTCGTCACGAAGGGAGAGAACATTTAAATCCAAGTCCAAACCCGCTCTATGCCATATCTATTGGAGAGAAATAGTTTATTAGTTTAGTTTTTAACCCTCGATCACTCGCTCAAAGAGCGCGGCGCCGCCCGTTTTCTTTTTTTTATATTTTACCGGATTTCTCAACGCTTAAACATTCTGAAAAAATTAGAGTTCCTAGTTCAATCCTTTTATTAACCCTAATCTGGTCACCAAACGCGACTCTGCGACTTGGTCACCTCCGAGGGGATTCGCCGCCGTGTTATTTAGGCTTTAGCGTTGCCGAATTCACTCTACACTCCTCGGGCGCGTTTAGCGAGTTTCCGGCAACGTCGCGTCATGGGCAATTTCATTTAAGGGGTAACGGAAGCCGCCGCAAAAGTTTGTTTTTTCAACCCATTTTTCTCCGATTGTGTCCAATATAAATGGCTGAAATTTTCACCAAGTATTGAGGGGAGACTAACTGTCGTCCTCCATCTATTAATTTTCAGATTTTTCGCAAAAAAAAAATGCAGAAAACTTAACGACACAGCTGATGCTAAAAAATAATAGATGGACGATAACGCTTAGATTTCGCTCAATACTTGGTAAAGATTTCAGCCATTTATATTAGACACAATCGGAGAAAAATGGGGTAAAAAAACAAACTTTTGCGACGGCTTCCGTTACCCCTTAACATGGGAAAAGATAATTCATCTGTCCGAAATAATTTGTTTTTTTTTAGGAATTTTGGGAAATATGTTGTTCTGAAATCTACTATAATTTCTTAGACCCTTCAATTGACAAAGTCAAATTTTTTGGAATTTTCCGGTTAGCCAGTCAATTCAGTAGCGAAGTGATAAAACGGCTTAAGTCGACTCATCTCCCAGTTGAGTTTTTGAGGAATATTTCCGAATCTAAGGGAGATAGCGAAATTTTCGTTGTAATATTTGTTGTAGCACTCAATCGTGTCTACAAAAAAAGTTATAACAAAAATTTTGCCATCTCCCTTAGATTCCGAGATATTCATTGAAAATTGGTCAATAGTCAAAATTGACTTGTACCGTTTTACCACTTCGCTACTGAATTGTAATGAATGAAAAACGACGCGCGGCGGGGTTTCCCTCATAGGGTGACCAACCTAGGTTAAGCGTTGGCGGTGTCCGTTTTTTTTCTCGGGAAATTTGTTTATCTAAAAAAGAAAAAAAAACATCGAACAGACAAAAGCGGTGCCGCACCGCCCAGTGCGAGCGAGTCCCTGTCAACCCCTCGAACGACAGTGTTGCTACATTCAATGCCACACGTGGAATGCGCGTATAGTGGTAAGTGCCAAGGTGGCAACAGTGCGCTCGGTTTAACCCAGCGGCGCTGCGCTAACCGTGCGACGGATGAAGGCTGGCGGCTGAGGGCGAGTGATAGAGGGTTAAAGCTTGCCTCCATTATCTGCTGAACGTTATTCAGATTGCTGTTTTTGATCGATTTGTATCGCGGAAATTCAACTCGATGCCCCATCATTCACGGACCCCCGAAAATTATGAATTTGGTTTGATAAAAAAGTTAAAAAAATTCAGAGCATTTTGAAAGAGCGTTTTCAATTAATATTGAGGAATTAGTTCAATAGAGGCAATATGAATAATGTATAATTACATTATTCATATTAATAATGTATAACTTCCTGAAAATATATAAAACATTCAGAAAAATTCTTGAATATTCTCGAAAATTCCAGTAAAAGCTGGGTTATTCTAGGAAATTTCAGATAATTCTCGAGCTTTCTACAAAATTTCAGGTAATTCACCATGCCAGTACATGAATTGTTCTAAGAGTTTTTTCTTCGTGTAGTTTTCATAAGCGTATCATTGTGATGTTGGAATAATTTCTTACATTATTTTAAATCAATGAATCTCAATATCCCGCTCTCTAAAATATTCACAAAAAAGTACTGAATAATATTTTGAAAATTATAAGTATTTGCTCAATCATTTGAATCTCCACATAAGGAATATTGTGTTCCAAAATTCTGTCCTTTCAGGAGAAAGTATTTAATTTATTAGGAAACATCCATAAAGATATGCCTTTACAGGTCAATTTTACCCTCAACTTGAAACCTGAGATATAATCTTTGTTTTACTTACCTCTCTTTCTTTGGGATGAGCATCTAGGTACGGCAGGCAATATTTAAAGTGGGGTCTCATATTTTTATAAATATATACACTGGATCCAGCCCCCACAGCAACCGCCGTTGACCTCGGCTCTGCGTTTTCGGAATAAAACCCAACGACTCCGCATGGAGGCTCTATCATGTTATGCTCGGTGACTTGATCAGCCCCCTTATATACTCTAATCTGAAGAAAATAAGTTTATCAATTAATGAAGAATGAAAAATTAATAATTCAATAGCAAAATGGTAAAACGGTTCAAGTCAATTTTGACAATTGGCCAGTCTTCAATGAATACCTCGGAATCTAAGGGAGACAGCAAAATTTTTGTTATAACCTTTTTTATAGAGCCAACTGAGAGCTACAACAAATGTAGTTACGAAAATTTTCCTATCTCCCTTAGATTCGGAAATATTCTCCGAAAACTCCGAAATATTCTCCGAAAAACTGGGAGATGAGTCGACTTAAGGGGAGACTACTATGAGTTTTAAAAATCGTGGGTTATTGGAGTGAGATTTTTCATACGTTGAAGATCAATTATATAGATCTGAAAACGAATAATTAGTGCAAAAAAAATTTTTTTTTATTGTTCGTTTGCCCGAAAACGCTTAAAATGCTAAAAACAGTCCAGGGCCTACAATTTTTGAGCTACAAAATTTTCTGAATAATGTGTGGAACAACAATTACGAGCCAGTTTTTTAGAATTCGACTCCTACACTGATTTCGTTTTTTTTTTTCCATATAAAAAAATTCAGTATTTGTGTAAAAAAATACAAAAAAAGCAAATTTAGTCATGTAAGAGGCGAATTTAAAAAAAATAGCTTGTAATTGTTATTCCACATTTTTCCGGAAATTAAAAAAAAATCCTTCGTAGTTCAAAAATTGGAGGCCCTGGACTGTTTTTGGCATTTTAAGCGTTTTCGGGCAAACGAACAAAAAAAAATTTTTTTCTTGTCACGGGACCTGAAAATTAATGTACACACCTCACCATGAAAAATATATCGCCCTCCCCCACGTGCTTGCCATCCTCCCCTTCGGCTCGGAAGGCAATCTTGCACGTGGGGGGCGGTGATCTGTTTTCCAAGGCTCGGGCATGTAATGTACTATTTTTGCACTAATTATTCGTTTTCAGATCTATATAATCGATATTCAACGTATAAAAAGTCTCACTCCAATAACCCACGACTTTTAAAACTCATAGTAGTCTCCCCTTAAACCGTTTTACCACTTCGCTACTGAATTGAAATGAAAAAACGAAATGGTTAATGTACTTTTGCAGAATCCGTTGCTTCTGATCCTAGATCAGTTACTATTAGCCTAGCTTCGTTATCACCAGACACGTCCAGCATGTCGAGGCCACCAGGAAGAACATGCATGTTTGCACTCGGCTCCCAGACCGCGTCCAGCCACCGGTTGGTGCTCAGCCGAGAGCCTACAGGCCGTTCCATCCTGATTGAAGGACAATCAACATTTTATTTCATTCGATTTCCAAGGACCACACATAACGATAACAAGTATACAGGCGTTACCTGAATTTCAGTTTTGTTTCGATGATTTTCAAGGACTCATGACGATCAACGAATTTGTCTATTACAGTAATAACTAGGATTAGGATAAAAATCTCATCAAGTTTTCTCTCCGATGCGTCCCATCAGTTTCATAATTCACCGAATGACATTGATAATAATCCCGTGTCCACTCCATATCGAATGTACACATGCACATGTTGTGATTGTTGTATCCATGGTGACCCGGTTACAACGCGCTCTGCAGTGCAAATTACATTTTTTCAAAGACATTGTGATTATTCTTTTGAATGTATGAACTGGGTTCTGCGTTGACTTGAAACGTTTGCAATTTTCCCATTTGCTTAATTTTACAGGGGGAAAAATTTCAGAGGAAATCCGAATATTTTGGAAATACAATCACGCACAAAAAAATTTTGTAGAAAAATCTAATGAATTCACTAGAAAATTCTATTGAATTCTACTGAACTTTCATGGAAAATTTTATCAGTTTCATGTCGAATTTATTGAAAAATTCTACTGCCTTTTTGCGCGTTTTTCTTCTCAATAGAAAATATTCGACAGAAAAAGTCAATAGAATTTGATTTTTCAATATAACTTATTCTCTTCAGATATTTTCTATAGAATTTCCTCGGCTCAGATTTTCTATTTTTTTTTTCATTCTATTTTTCTTTCCTTCTCATGAAAAAAATGAAAATAAAACTTTGAAAATTTGAGCCGAAGAAATTCTATAGAAAATATCTCAATTGAATAAGTTGCATAAAAAAATCGAATTCTTCTGACTTTTTATTTTAATAAAATAATAAAAATAGTTTAATAGTAAAATAAAATGGGGCTCAAATGAAAGCACTGATGTTCGACTACAAAAGTACAAAAGAATTTCGATGGAAAAAAATAGGCAAGGTACTTGGATATCCTTAAATGTTACTCTCTCATATTTTCTTCATAGAAACTATGGAGCTGAAGATACTTCTATTGAAAACTTAGCTAAGAGCTAAGTCGACTTATATCGTGTTACCGTTTCGCTACTGAAATATTGCTGATGGTCCGTCAAACGCATTAAAAAAGAGTGGAGAATGAACATTACACTATCCAGAGACTAAACTGCACGTATGAAAAAATCGTATAGAAATTTTCTATAGGAATATTTCTATCCATAAATTTTAACATAAATTTTTGTTTTCATACAAAAGACGTTAAACGCTCCAGAGAAAAACGTAGAAAAATGTCGCAACTTGATACGAAATGTTTCTATACATGTGGCAGTGAGTTGTATAGGATCAAATCTATAGAAATCGTATTAAAATAATTTGTATAAAAAATATCCGTATAGCAAATTTCTATACGATCATGTATGAAAAAATGCTATAGGATTTCCTATAGGATATCGAACCTATAGAATTCGAATGAATGAGGATTCCTATAGGATTTTTCTGATAGGATTTCCTATAGGATTCCCTATAGAATTTCCTATCAGAATTATGACCCTAATCCTGACCCTTGTGACCGATTGGTTTCGAGTCTCAATTTTGTGTGTTACTTTCTATAGAAAACCCTATAGTGAATTCTATAGGAAATCCTATAGAAAATTCTATAAGAAATCCTATAGGAAATCCCACCAGAAAAATCCTATAGGAAATGTTCGAATTCTCCACAGGATTTTTTCATACGTGTGGATGCTGGCCACTGGGTTGAACAAAAAAACAGAAAAATTGCGGCCTTTGGAAAGCAAAAGCGCAAGGATGTTCCACCAAATTTTCTCATAAGTCCTTAATTTTTCCAACTGCAGATTATTTTATAGCAGCATAACTCTACTATTCGATGAAAAATATACGTACTATAATTTTTTACTGCCCAATGCGTTCCGAAAGCGCCCCTCTAAATATTTATTTACAACTATAAGCCCAGTGTATCTCTCCCACAATTTCAGGGACATTTCGTCTCTCGAAATCCTCAACTTTACTCATTTATTGATACCTTTCCACCGCCCTAATCCCCGGCAGTATATTCTAGCCTACAGTTCAGAGTCTAAACTGTAGACCGAATATCCCAGCAAATCCCTTGTCTCAGGGTTTTCGAGACAGAAGACACGGGTCCTTCATTCTTTCGGTCTTAACATCCTACCTGGATCTTTGACCTGGCGAATTGATGACTCATCGCACTTACGTACCTAGGGCTCGAGTATTTGCCAAAGGTCCATCTGCCTTCAAAGGTCTCTTACCCTCTCTCCCTCCCCCCTGTCTTTACTCCCTCCCAATGTTCATTTATCGCAATTAGAATTTACCGAGGGTCGCACGTGCTGGACGTAGTTGAGTACCTGAGCATTCTCGAATTTTTCCGAAGCACCGAATTTTCTAATTCGTCAGTCTGCATATCGAACCGAAGAAGAAGAACTCGTCAGTCAAATTACTGCTCTAGAAGGAGTAACATCGAATTCAGTGCATTTCCTGCTGTACGATACCCACCACTGTTATCGATGCATCTGAACGAGTGTATTGATTCGCCAATCAGCGTCATGGAAAATGTTTTCGAATCCAACGCTTCAATGGTTTTCGATAAACTAGAGAAGCAGTCACCGATATCCTGGACTAAATCAGATGTCAATCAAGAGGATTATCGAAATTCATGGTGCCAATATCGCAATGCCGCACAGGAAAACAAGGAGAATATTGAGCCCACTGTTAATGACGAGCAATTTTGTCAGGAAGAGAAAGATGAAGGGGGGCAGGCTTCGGTGGATGCACCTATGGAGATTGTTATGTAAGTAATTCTACGACAAATCTCTTGTTTTCTTTTTGTATTTAATTATGCGTTTTTGATTTATCCTATGATTCTTTTATTTTTATAGGTCCCTCAACGCTTGTTCTATTGCGGTTGCTGACGCTAGTTCACAGCAGAACGATTCTGTTCTTGATCCTCCGCCAGTGAAGGTAAATTGATTCTTCAGATTCTTGAGTGCTTTGAAGTTCTGAGATATTTTGTTGATTTGGGACATCACGTGAATCGCACTAAACGGGTTTTTCTAATCTTTGACGGAATGTTGATTTTTTTTTCATCGAGGACTATCAAGTTCATAACAAATCTTGGTTACCGTTTCAATACATGAGACTGAATAACTGTCGAGAAACTAAATCAAAACATACAGACATACACGTGCTATAGCTTCATGAGTTCAAGTTGGGGTTATTCACCCTCTTAGAAGATGGAAAAAGGATTGAGGAATACACGTATGAAAAAATTTAATAGAAATGCATCAAGTGGAGACACTCCACTCAATTGAATGAATTACGTTGATATTGGATTAGTTCCTGGGGGACAAATTAATTGAAGAAGATAGGGTGTACTATTTCCAGTTCCCGAACATGCTGTTCAAATGGCGATTATCCGGGTGTAAACGAAAAATATGTCGTGATAATATATTGTGGTACTAGTGCTTACACGGAGAGAAATTTTCTAGAAAAATTGTAGTACAAGTACTGGAAAAAATTACAATTCACCGGCTGTGAAAAATTCTAGTGCTGTTAAGGTAAAATTTCTTGGTATTTCTGGTAAAATTTCTGGGGATTTCTGTAAAATTTTCACAGAAATACGGGGAAAAATTCACGTTTTCTCCAATAAAATTTCTAGTGCCGGTACTAGAATTTTTTCCTGACCGTCACTTTGCGCCTCTTTACCCGTGCTAGCACTAGAATTTTTCTAAAAATTCCCGGGAAACATCGAATTTATTCTTTCCATATGTAAGCTATATCCCCAGAAAATAGTTTTTTCTTACGATTGTCCTCATCTTTTTCATAGATAATATTTATAATATTTCCCAGCTATTAAAAATTTTATGGCACACCGTGCAATAAGTCAAGTGCATCGCTTCAAGTGCGTCAAACTCGACTTCTGCACGATGTGGCATAAAATAGTATAGGCCACTCGGGCATAAACTTCGTTTTCAACGAATGTGAATACAGACCTCGCCTTTGGCTCGGCCTGTAAACTTCACATTCGTCGAAAACGAAATTTGTGCCCTTGTACTCTAATGTACTATTTTTTCTAAATTATTATCGCCTAAACTGTGTAGCTGCACTACCAAGTTTAGGAGATAATACATCGGAGGTCCCCCCGAACTCGATTTTTCTATTTTATGAGAAAACGGTCCTTAAGACATTCTTTAAAAAAAATGTGGTAGATTGATAAATTCCGAATGCGGTAAATTTTTTGTAAAATTTTATAGTACACAGTGTCTGATCACAGATAATTGACCCCAAGGAACGATTGACTCTCATAATTAATTGATTATTGGTTTCATTATTTTCCATGAAATCCCAATACCACTTTCTGCGCTCATAGAGTTTTTCCTTCACAATGACCGCCTACGAATTGTGATAGGAATGACTTATGTTTGGAATCATTTATTTTTATTTTCTCTTTCGATAATCTCGTATTTTCACCGATTACAGAGAGCAAGAATAGTCAAACCACCTGAAGCATACCAATCTGATAAAAAATCCACACCGAAAGCCCAGCCATTCAGTTTCTTAGCTCGTGAAAGAGAGAATCGTGAAAGGAGAGACGCTCGTCGAAGCTATTATGAGGTATCTATACGTTTCATTTTAATTCACATATCGGTACGTGCGAGAAAATTCATAGAAAAATCTCGCGCATCCGCCAGAAAATTCTATAACTTTTTCGCCGACTCAATTATCAAATGCCGCACCTTTTCTCTGTTTTTTTTCTAACAGAAATGATGGGCAGGAAAAATATTCTATATCAAAATCAATAGACTCTGATATTTCTACATAATTTATCCTGTTGGAATTGTTTCTATGGAAATTCCTCGGCTTCAATTTTCCACTTTTTTTTTGCTTTGATATTTTCGATAAGATGAAAAAGAATGCAGTGAAATAAACTCGGAAAATTTATACTGAGGAGTTTTTATCCATAATATCTCAAAAGAATAAGTTATCGAGAAAGATCAATATCTATTGTTTTTTTTTCAATGAAATATTCTCTATTGAACATGCCCCTATAATAAAAACACGCAGAACAGCTGTGGATTTGTTTCATACACTAAGAGAAAAAATTTGCTCTGCTAGAATGCTAGAATATGTGTTTTCGGCAAGAAGACAACACACGGAGAGAAATTCTCAAGAAAAATTCTAGTACGAGTACTGGAAAAAAACACAATCCACGGGCTGTGAAAAAGTCAAGTGCTGTTAAGGTAAAATTTCTTGGTATTTCTGGTAAAATTTCTGGGGATTTCTACGAAATTTTCACAGAAATACGAGGAAAAATTCACGTTTTCCCCAATACAATTTCTAGTGCCGGCACTGGATTTTTTTCTGGCCGTCACTTTACGCCTCTTTTCCCGTGCTAGCACTAGAATTCAGTAGCGAAGTGGTAAAACGGTTTAAGTCGACTGATCTCCCAGTTGAGTTTTTGAAGAATATTTCCGAATCTAAGGAAAATAGCGAAATTTTCGTCAGTGTATTTGTTGCAGCTCTCAATCGGCTCTACAAAAAAGGTTATAACAAAAAATTGTCTATCTCTTTTAGATTCCAAGATATTCATTGAAAACTGGCCAATAGTCAAAATTGACTTATACCGTTTTACCACTTCGCTAGTGAATTCTTCTAAAAAATTTCTCTCCGTGCAGTTTTCGGCAAGAAAATTGTAGTTGCCTCTTGAAATTATCATGTTTTGGTGGACACTATCTTTTATGATACAAGTGAAAAGGACTATTTTCGTCACAAGACCGAAAAATAGTATATTTCGATGTCAGTGGGACATCAAAAGATCTCTTTAGGAGAACATATCATTTTCGGCAGAACTAATTTTTCCACTCAGTCTACAATCGGCCAAAAACTAATACAATATTCTACACTGCGAGAAAAACGACGAAGTTTTCAAACAAGTTTTACTTGTGCTAAGAAAATAGTTTTTAGAAAATTATCACAAAAGGATTTTTTTGTGCCAAACATGCAGAGAGTGCGCCGGAATGAAAAATTTTTGTCGCAAAAATAGATTTAGTAGTTCAAGAAAAATGGCATCCTTTGTACATGCAAGAAATGTCATTTCTAGTACTGCTCCTTCGTTATTCGATACTCGCATACGTATTTTGCTCCCGAAAAATATTTGTTTTATGTGAAACAAGGAATAGTAGTTTTTCGTTTCGGCTATCTGATAATCACAGATAAGAAATGAACCCTTAAATGAAACAATAATAATGATATGATAGCAATCTTGTAACTTAGGGACAAAATATTTGTTGATAAATTTTCCTCTATAAGAGATATTTTCATCCTGAAAAGGCACCGTCTGGTGTGAATTATCCGCCTCTTCAGCCAAATATTTCGTTGCTGTCGAAAGCAGAACAATTATTCATGTTTGAGACTTTCAAATTCGAACCAAACAAATTCTTTTTTGGCAATTTTCAACTAGCGATTTTGTTGGCCCAAACAAGACTTCTTTGAGAACATGTTAGTTTTTCTCTCGGTGTAGTGCAAGACCGAGGATTTTCTATAAAAATTTTCGTACCTGCGAGCAACATATTCAAAGAAAAATTCACACAGCTTATTTTTTCACTTCATTGTCTTTATGTCTTTTCTTCCAGTTATTGACAAAGAAAACAAGCCCACAACCCTTTAAAGCCAGGCCGATGCCAAACTTCAAGCCTGTCCCCCAAACGCCTCCTAAATTTGTATCGAAGAGTGCATCACCTCAAGCGCAAACTCCAAAAGCTACTACAAGTGCAAAAACGCCTGTTCTGCAGCCAATTCTCACACCAAGAATCAGTAGACCCACAGGAAGCCTCGTACCACCACCAAGACCTACCCCAAATGCAAAATCCAATGTCTTACAGCCCATTAGGACATCGAGGCCGAGCGAACCTGCGGGGAGTCTTTCACAAACTCCCCGGGAATCTCGTATTTCCAGAATTCAGACCACAAACAAAACTCCAGGTGCATTACCATGTCAAGGATTGAATAAAACTACAGGGAATTGTGCGCAGACCAAAACTCCGCTCAAGCGAGCATTCAATGCAAGTAACACCCCTAATGTGCACACAAGTACTACTGTTGTTCAGGTAATTTTGTTTGCGAATTCGTGACTTTCCGCACTTGGTATACAATATACTATTTTGTTTTCAGTGTACATTTCAATATGCAAAAAATTGAACCGCCGTAAGGCGGCTTTCGAAAAACTAGTGAAATCAATTTGGAATTAAGGCCCGGGTGTACTATCTTTCGAACGTTATCTCGATGTTTTTTTTTCATTTTTCGTCATCTGAAATTGCCAATTAAGTCCTGCATCATGCAGAAGTTTTGAAAAATTATGAATGAATAATTTTAAAAAAGTAGAAGAAATTCTTAATTTTTTCAAAGAGCATGTTTAATTTATATTCAGAATAAGTTGAATAACAAGAAATTGAAAAATATATCTGATTTACGGTGACGAATGGCGGCCGTCACCCAATATCGTGCAGGGGGAAGACTAATTTCGTAAATCTTTTCCCACACTGCACACAGACATTTATTACGGAAAAGACTCTTTGAAAAAAGTTGTAATATTTTGGAGAATTTTTTAATCACACTTTTATTAGATCAAAATGGCAGATGACTACATACCACTGTTTTGAAACTTGAGATACCTAGCTGTGACTTCCTATGAGGAGTTAGTGTTCTGTTATCCACCATGGAAAATGACAGCTAATAGATAATTTGCCACAGCGAATCAGATATTTGTAATTTCCACTTTCTTCAACTCATTCTGAATCTCAATTAAAAACGCTCTTTGAAAAAATTCAGAATTTTTTCTATTTTTTTTATCATTCTATCATAATTTTTGGGAATTTCTACATGATGTACCACTCAATTGACAATTTTGGATTACGAAAGATAAAAAAATCCAGATAACATTCGAAAGATAGTACACCCAGGCCTTAAAAGAGAATTCTAATCGATTGTTTCAATAATTTACAGAGTCCAAAGTCCACGGAAGAAAGTCCACGAAGACGTACAATTACGATTCCCAAATCTCCTCAACTATCTACTGCCATTCGAGCCCGTGAACGTCGCCAATTCGAAGAGATGATGCAGGAAAAACTACGTCAACGGGAAGTTGTTCGACGAATGGTAAAGTATCCAATAGATATGACTTTCATTTATCCATATCTCCAGAAAAATATTAATGAATTGTTTATGTACAGGAAATTGCAACTATTCGATGTTACGAACAGCAAGAAGTAGCGCAACTACGGAAATCTATGATACATAAGCCGGTGCCAGTGCCCAACTCCAAGAATGTCTCAGTAATCAAGCGACCATCTACTCATTCAATGCTCCCTGTCTTTGTCAAACGTCCTCGATGGGTCTAATTCTGATATGATATATATAGTTACTATTATATAAAGTAAAACATATATATAATCATATGCAGAATGATGAGGACCTACACTGATAGAAAAGATTAGTTATTGTTAACGAATGGATTTGGTTGGAAGCTAGGATATATGTGGTCTCACCACATGTTCATTCGTTAATAGTTAACAAATGCATATTTGAAGAGCCTTGTTTGACTCGAGCTTCATCTTTCAAGTGAACCATTCGTTAATTATTAACCAATATTTATTTGGTCATATTCAACTCTACCATTCGTTAATAGTTACCGAATCTCATTTGGAATAAATGAATCATTCTATCAGTGTAGTTTTCTGGAACAACACCATTAGTTTTCATCTGTCGGAGATGAAAATTTAGTGAGAATGTGTTGTAGATATCTCGTGCTAATAAGAAATTTATCATTCTTCTTTTTGAACTCATTTTAATTATCAATTTCTCGAAATTTTATGAGCGAACAGAATTCAGTCTCTATATACTGCGATGCTATAAGAAAACGAGTAAATATTTGTTGAGAAAAGACAAAGAGTAGAGCATAACTGTACACAAGATTGATTTGCATGTTTCAATGAGGCGAATAGAAAGCCCTAAAGATTTTATGTTTTATTTGTATGTTCCACTCAATTGTGATTGAAGTTTTGAGAGGAAAATTGTGTAGAGCAGTAAGTTAAAGTGATTAGTTTTTATATCTCTTGATTGAAAAAAAAGTTTTTATATCTCAAATGAATGTAATATTCATGTGCGTTGTATATAAAGTTTACGAATAAATTTATCATGTATTCTATAAAACAGGACTATTATTCTTCAATTCCTCTACTGCTCATATACAAACAAATTTTTATACAAAAATCTTACACACTTGGTGGGGAATTCTGTTTGATTCTGTCTGACTTCTATAGACTTTTTTATATGAAAAAAAGTGCATATATATCTATCGAAAAAACGCGTGTCGAAGTTGCATAAATCGAATTTACGCAAAAAAATGATCTTTTTAATGAAATTATAATGGACCTCCACTGGAATTTTGAGTTTTAATAGAAATTCATTTGAATTTCTTAGTGAAAGCGCTTAGTTTTGCAATTGATTTTTTTCGTACGTGCCGCAGCCTAAACTAAAGTATAAACTATTCCGAAAGATGAAAATTAATTAAAACCACAACGGTAAAGTATTTTTCTATAGAGTCGGTGAAAAAATCGAATCTGTAATGAACGCGCTCGATGTTTCTATGAATTTTTCTACATGCTCTTACTCTTGCGAGAAGTAATTCATCACGGAAAATTGCCGTTATTGATCGAGTAAATATCGAGAACAGATTAAAAGGTATTGCTCGTGGAAATGAACTCGAAAGTGAACCTGTATATCCATAACAAAAGCCACCTTCAGCGATTGTTTACATTTTCAGTGTCTCTGGCGAACATTGGCCGGTAGCACGTCGCTATCCCTTCGAGAATTAGCCGCTCAACAATCAGTGGTGTCTCAACGTGTCTATATTAAACACGCTGTACAACGCTAATTATCATTCTGTCTTTTAATCTATCGCATCGTTATTTCGTTCGGATAAGATGACGAGCAAGATTCAAACAAGTACACCAATCAGTTTCCCCAAATCGGGGAATAATTCTGAGAGAAATTCATGGCTGAATCAGGATGTAACACAGCAGCTTTATCGCAATACTTGGAATAAATTTAAAAGCCCGGAGAAGGCGTCGTCGCCTTGGGATGCAATTGAGGGACCGAAATTCGTGGATTTCGAGGACGCACCCGGTGAACCTCGTGATTCATATTTCGGTAAGTTAGATTGGATTTTATTGTTGATTGAAAATGGTAATTTTCTTACGATAAAAATGTCGGTTATGGTTTGTGAACAGACAGGAGGCAGTCTGATTGCCCATCGCCACAGAGGAAAGAGCAGATGGTGTTGCCAACGTCTGATGAGACCATGGAAATTGTGAGGTAAACACAGTGAGAAAAAAAATTATTTTTGCCAAACATCCACTTTCTTGAGGGAAGGATTTATTTTTTCAATATCGTATTTCTCCTGCCGAGTCATTTCAGGGCAATTCTTATCAGGTTTCAATTATGATAATTATATTGCTCTGGAAGATGATCATGATAGTTATGACCTTGAGTGAACTCCCTCAATGATTATAAACATTAAGGCCCGGGTGTACTATCTTTCGAATGTTGTCTCGATTTTTTCTATCTTCCGTAATCCAAAATTGTCAATTAAGTGTTACATCATGTAGAAATTCCCAAAAATTATGACGGAATGATAAAAAAAATAGATAAAATTCAGAACTTTTTCAAAGAGCGTTTTTAATTGAGATTCAGAGTGAGTTGAAAAAAGTGCAAATTACAAATATCTGATTCGCTGTGGCAAACTATCTATGAGCTGTCATTTTCCATGGTGGATAACAAAACACTAACTCCTCATGGGAAGTGACAGCTAGGTATCTCAATTTTCAAAACAGTGGTATTTAGTCATCTGCCATTTTTATGTGATAAAAGTCTGATTAAAAAATTCTCCAAAATATTACAACTTTTTTCAAAGAGCCTTTTCCGTAATAAATGTCTCTGTGCAGTGTGGGAAAAGATTTACCAAATCAGTCTTCCCCCTGCATGATATTGGGTGACAGGCCGTCATTTGTCACCGTAAATCAGATACATTTTTCAATTTCTTGTTATTCAACTTATTCTGAATATAAATTAAAAATGCTCTTTGAAAAAATTAAGAATTTTTCCTACTTTTTTTTTATTATTCATTCATAATTTTGCAAAACTTCTGCATGATGCAGGACTTAATTGACAATTTCAGATGACGAAAGATGAAGAAAAACATCGAGATAACGTTCGAAAGATAGTACACCCGGGCCTTAAACTAAAAAATTAATCGAAATTCTTCATTGTAGAAAATAAGAAATTTAGGAAAAATGAATAATCATTAGAGTTCATCCAAGGTCATGTGCAACATAGCCATCCTCTAGAGCAACATGATTGTCATAATTTAAACGTAATCAGGCTCGCCTGGGAATAACTCGATTGGAGAAATAGGATTTTAAACAATAAATGCTTCTCTCAAGTAAATGACTATTTGGCAATAGTATATTTCAGCACGTGTGGAGCAATTTCGTCTTTAACGTGTGTGGGGTTTACAGCATGAGCCGAAGGCGAGTGATGTAACCACACACGTTAAGGACGAAATTTCCCCACAAGTACTGAACAAAATTTTATGTCACGGAGCCTGAAACCGGCTGAATTAGACACGAGACGCGAAGCGTCGAGTGTGTAATCCAGCCGGTTTCAGGCATGAGTGGCATAAAAATAATTGTTTTTCTTAGTGCACTTTCTCGTCAAAATAGAATGGGGTGAAATGATACTTGATTTTCTTGAAATGATACGTGACTTTATAAGAAAAATGTTTATAAGCCGCTGAGTTTTGATGACAGGGGATAATATTTATCGATATGAAAAATAAGGAAGGATGGGTTACATTGGACGATGTTGATTTTTTCCAAATGTGGATTAATAAAATGGAAAGTTTTTTTTTATCTAAAGTATATTTTTCTCCATTTTTATGAGTCCCAGACCAAGCTCGTTTGATGAATTTGTTCCTGCGCCATTGATATCATTAAAAAAATGTTCATTTCATCCAAAGGAGTAATTACTATGGAAAAATTTGTAAAAAATTTGATAAAAAAATGTGATATTGACTGCGCCAAGAATTCATAGAATTTTGATTCGATCTGCATTACAGATTTTATGAGTTATTGACATCTTTATTTATCTCCCTCTCGTTCCCCCAAACTTCTCTATGATGCAACTAAGCTAAGCTGAACTCATGCATTCTTTTCAGAGTTATGAATTTTTCCGAAGAAATAAAATATGAGCATTCCACCCCGCTATTCCCACTTCCAGTTAATCCTCTGTTTATTTAATTTCAATTGATTTCATTCAGCTCCTTCAAGTCTTGTTCTATATCAGCCATTGTGGAGACCAATAGTGAGGTTGAAGATGCAACTTTGATCGCGGATGAGACTCTCAATGAGAACGATCACTTTCAGGTAAACTAATCAATCATTAAAGTCTTTATGCTCCTCGTGCTTATTGCGAGTCGAGTTTATAATTTTTTTAGTAACTCTTTCTTGTTAACTAATACACACTGAGAGATAAATTTACTTCTCCCAAGAAAAACAGAGAAAATTTTCTTCACACAAGTAATCAAATAGAGGTTTTGTATGGGACAGTTGAATATTTACTTGTGCTTTGTGTTTCTCACAAATAAATTTTTTTCTCAGTGCACGGAGAGAAATTTTTTAGAAAAATTTTAGTGCTAGCACGGGAAAAGAGGCGCAAAGCGACGGCCAGGAAAAAAATCCAGTGCCGGCACTAGAAATTTAATCGGGGAAAACGTGAATTTTTCCCCGTATTTCTGGAAAAAATTCACAGAAATCCCCAGAAATCTTACCAGAAATACCAAGAAATTTTACCTTAACAGTACTAAAATTTTTCACAGCCGGTGGATTGTCATTTTTTCCAGTACTCGTACTAGAATTTTTCTAGAAAATTTCTCTCCGTGTATCTTTTAATTCTTCTGGTTCCACTCCTACCTACTCAAAAATCGTATCCGACAGTATCCTGTGATATCACACAATGTGGAATATAAAATCCCGTCTTTAGTGAGAAAAAAAAATACATGCACGGGGAAAAAAATTATTGAAAAATTACTGTGCCAGCACGGTAAAATGTGTTTGTTTGTAAATCCGAGAAAAATTCCTGTAGCGCACGGCAGGAATTCCGGTGCTGGCACAGGAACTTTTCCGGCCCGTCCAAATGAACCTTTTTTACCGCGCTAGCACTCGCCTTCGGCTCGTGCTATAAACCTCCCACGAGCCAAAAAACACTTTTCCCACGTGTACCGAACGATATTTTCCATCACAATGTGCGGAAAAGGGACGTTTTAGGCACGCGAAGCGTGCCTAAAAAGTTACTTTTTCGCACAGCGTGATGAAAAATATCGTTCGGATACACGTGCGACGGGGTGGTAACGAGAGTGAAGTTGGCGGCTCGAGGCGAAGCCGAGGGCTGCCAATCACACGAGTTAAAACACCCCGCCGCACGTGTATCGAAATATACTATTTCGTCACTAGGCCCGAGAAAACCGCGATTCTAACCTCGCTTTGCTCGGTTAGATCGCGGTTTTCGGGTCCAGCGACGAAAAATATTGTATGTCACACGGCGATAAAAGGATTATCTGACGAATGTGATTATAATCCTCGCCTTCGGCTCGGATTATAAAGTCACATTCGCCAGATAGTACTTTTATCACCTGATGACATAATGTACTATTTCGTGTCGAGGGCCCTGAAAAAGCGTTTTTTGCCCCGGCGGACGCAAAGTACATATTTCCCTTCTCCTTCACGAGAGGAAAATCTGACTTTGCGCCTTGACCGAGGCGAAAAACAAGGTTCTAACCACAGGAGGTGAAATAAAAGGCCCTTACCCACATGCTTACCACCATAGTCTTCGATTCGAATATTAATTACATGGGCACGACCCTTTTATTTTACTTCCCTAGAGTAGAAATTTATCATTTTGACGCGTTGAAGGTGTGTAGTGCTCAGAGTACTACCCTCTCAAGGGACAAAGAACACTTTTCTCACGTGTACACTGATAGAAAGAATTAGTTATTATTAACGAATGCATTTGGTTGGAGATGAGGGTCTATTCGGTGTCACCAAATGTTGATTCGTTAACGGGGGACTCTGGTGAAATTTGAAAATCTTCGGTGGATCTGGGGACTTATTGAGCGACTTCAGTTATATGGTGGGATATGTTAAAAAGTGGGAAAAATCCCGGACCCAATCGGTTTTGCCCCGTACTTCCACGGAAAATGTCGTTTTTCGTGTTTCTCCCTTTAAAACGTTCCTCGTTCCCCAATTTTAATCCGATTTGATTTTTTTTTTCTTTCAAAATGTTCGTGAGACTCCAAAGAACAAAGTTAAGCTTCCGTTCTATGATCCATTATATAGATCATGAAAAAATCGAAAAAAATGAAAAAAGGGGGTTTTCCTTCTGCTCGTCAACTATTTAAAATAAAGACTTTTCAGGCATAATGCAAAGACAATCAGAAGGGAAAACCCTTTCTTTCGGTTTTTTCGTTTCTTTTTCGTTTTTTCTTCGATTTTCTCATAATCTATATAATGGATCGTAAAACGGAAGCTTAAATTTGTTCTTGGGAGTTTCACGAACATTTTGAAAAAGAAAAAATCAAATTGGATCAAAATTGGGGAACGAGGACGTTTTAAAGATAGAAACATGAAAAACGACGTTTTCCGCGGAAGTACGGGGCAAAACCGATAGGGTCCGGGATTTTTCCCACTTTTTAACATATCTCATCATATAACTAAAGTCGCTCAATAAGTCCCTAGATCCACCAAAGACTTTCAAATTTCATCGGGGTCCCCCCCTAATAGTTAACAAATACACATTTGAGGAGTCTTACATATGACTCCTTCTGTATTTGATTGTAGTCTCTTGAAGCAATGCAAGAGAGTTTCGACGTTGATAAATCGAAGTCTGATCGCCGGATGTCCATCGTGAAACCCTTCAGTTTTGAGCTTCGCGAGAAAGAGAATCAACAGAGAAGAGAATCTCGTCGGGCATACTATAAGGTATAACTTTATTCTAATGACATTGTTTTGAAAAATTATTTGAAAATCGCTGAATGCAGATCATTTACATAAAATTTAGTTTATTGAAGATTTTTTAAAAGAATCACGTATGAAAAAATCGTATAAAAATTTTCTAGATGGATATTTTTTGTGCAAATTATTTCTATACGATTTCTATAGGTTTTGATCCTGTACGACCCACTGCCACATGTATAGAAACATTTCGTATGGAGTTGCAATATTTCTCTACGTTTTTTTCTGGAGCGTTTAGACATCTTTCGTATGAAAACAAAAATTTATGTAAAAAACTATGTATAAATACAATTCGTATAGAAAATATTCGTATAGAAATATCCGAATATCATGTACGGAAATCATATAGAATTTCTCTACGCAATCCGTATAGAAAATTTCTACACGATTTTTTCATACGTGTGAAACCCACCCAACGTGAAAATTGCCCTTGGTCTATTTTTCCGGAATTCGTGCAGAACGATCGCAACTCACAATCCCGAATGATGCTTTTGATGTGATTTTATTTCAATATCTCCTAAGAAATGATTCCTTTAAAAAAAATACGCGTGCAATCACATTTTCCATCTTTGACATAATTTCTCTCATTCACTGAATACAGATGTTGACTGAGAGGATGTCTTTTCATTCCTTCAAAGCCAGACCGGCGCCAAAAATCCATCAACGTTCTACTACAGTCGTCAACACCACTGAGACTGAAGTTAAGCTCGAGACTACACCAAGGAGAATAATCCGTGTACCGAGGAAGACAGACGTTAATGCAAATAAAGCTGACGAGAAGATTGAAAAGCCCAAAACAACAGTGCGGGCTCCAAAGCTGGAGAAACCGAGTGGAAATCTCTCTCTGCAGAAAGCTAAAGGTGCCACGGCTTTGGTTCAACCCCAACAGGCAGCTGCAACTGGGTGCAATCCATTTACGGTTCAGTCGAGAGCAAAGAGTGTAACTACTTTGGCCCAGCCTCGACAGACACCTGCAACTGCCTCCAATCCATTCGTAGTCCAGCCAAAAGCTAAAAGTGCAACATCCCATTCGTCTCCACATAAAGTTAAACCCGCATCCAATCCATTACCATCGCATTTAAAAACTAAGAGTACTCTTCAGCCTCAGCATGCAGGGAAAACTTCATCGAATCCATTCTCACTGCAAACGAAAGCTAAGAATGCAACAAATCCGTTCCAATGGCAAAAATCAAAGGACACACCTTCCAATGTTCATGTGATTAGGATTAAGAAGCCAACTGGACATTCCGGTGATGTCCAAGACGGGGGAAATTCTGCACTTCATTCAGTTCAGGTGAAAAACTAAATTCATTAAATTGTTATATTAATTAAGGGGGGACCCCGGTGAAATTTGAAAGTCTTCGGTGGATCCAGGGACTTATTGAGCGACTTTAGTTATATGATGGGATATGTTAAAAAGTGGAAACAATCCCGGACCTAATCGGTTTTGCCCCGTACTTCCACGGAAGACGTCGTTTTTCATGTTTCTACCTTCAAAACGTTCCTCGTTCCCCAATTTTGATCCCATTTGTTTCTTTTTTCAAAATGTTCGTGAGACACCCAAGAACAAATTTAAGCTTCCGTTTTACGATCCATTATATAGATCATGAGAAAATCGAAAAAAAAAAACAAAAAAACCGAAAGAAAGGGTTTTCCCTTCTGATTGTCTTTGCATTATGCCTGAAAAGTCTTTATTATAAATAGTTGACGATCAGAAAGAAAACCCCTTTTTTCATTTTTTTTTTAGATTTTTTCAGAATCTATACAAATGGATCGTAAAACGGAAGCTTAACTTTGAGCTTTGGAGTCTCACGAATATTTTGAGAAAAAAGAAAACGAGGGGACAAGGGACTTTTTAAAAGTATAAAACACGAAAAACTACGTTTTCCATGGAAGTATGGGGCAAACCGATTGGGTTCGGAATTTTTCCTACTTTTCAACATATCCCATCATATAACTAAAGTCACTCAATAAGTCCCCAGATTCACCGAAGACTTTCAAATTTCACCGGGGTCCCTCCTTAAATGTTATATTAATTTTTAGTTGTTTTTTTTTGTGCAATAAGGAATTATATTTAACAATGTTCGTATTTTTGCAAGGGACTCTGTAATAGAAGTTCTGCACCTTCATCACTGCTTGTTCACAATGGAAATTCAATACGTAACTGATTGCCACATACTATTTTAAGGGAGCTATTTTAGAAATCTTCGGTTATTGATAAGAAACAGAAATTAATTTTCCCACGATTTCCACGATTTTTGAGATAATGGAAAAAAAACCTAGTTTTATTCTATAGCATCTAGCCAAGAAAAGCCTCGCAGAAACTTTAGAATTCCCGGCATTTTTTTTATACAAAATAGCAAATGAATTCGAAATGTTTCAGAGTAAGAAGCAGAAGCCGTTCCAAGTGTCTCTTCCACACCGTAAAATTGAAATCCCAAAGGGGCCTGAACTGATGACTGCTAAACGTGCACGTGAACGACAGCAATTCGAGGAGAAAATGAGGGAGAGAGAACGTCAGAAAGAAGAAATTAAGAAAATGGTACATCAATCGCTTTCGTATTGCATTGACTAGTTTTACTAATCCACTCAACTCATAAAATGATGAATTAACAGGAAGCAGCGGCTCAGCAAGCTCGAGAGCAGGAGGAATATGCTCGTTTACGCAAGCAAACTGTATTCAAGGCTAGACCTGTTCCGAACTTCAAGAATGTCTTACCTCCAGTGCAGAAACGTCCACTCACTGAGCCAATGATGCCTATCTTCGTAAAACGCCGTCGTTGTCGTTGATTCAGGCAGCAATACGAAGACCAGGGAATGATACTAGTGATAAACAGTCTATGTAAATCTGCAATATTCTAGTGTACGTATTAATCGAATCCATCTGAGAGTAACTAAATGAGAGGATCATTTCATCGCGAGCAGTTTCAATGCAAATAACGTTGCTGAAGTTATAATCTTCATGTTAAGTAGTGTTAACGGACGATACAGTTTTCAACTGTCATCAAAATAAATGTTTTTTTTTAGTTTATGTTCAATTTTTGCATTATCCTAGATATAATTGTTCTGGTGTAGATGTCCATGAGCCGTGGATCGTCAACAAGGTATCGAAAGTAACATCTGATTATGAATTAATTTTAACATAATGCTTTCGAAATTCTAATGTTTATTAACTTTTTTTATTTAAGTGATATCGACGGACGTATTGTCCCTTGCTGTGAGCAATGTAAATATTTTCTGAGTTTATGTTGTATTTTCGCATTGTAATCAATATTAATTCGAACAAAACATCAAACTAACAGTGTAGATATTCCATCGCTTACTTGATTACGTACTGTAAAGAAAACAAGCCGCGTGACAGAAGCCAATTGACGGATTACATATGACTGTTACTCTGACGTATTTTTCTTTCTTCTATTTTCATTTTTACCCATTTCTGGTACTTGGTACTGGGCTTCCGAATGGATCCCAATTCATGTTTTCACTAAATGAAGGCATAAGGATTACCATTTTTTGAAAATATTAAGGATGTTCTACACCCTTTCTGCCAAAATTCACGTTTTTTTAATTTTTCTGGCAAACTTATGATGGAATTGACGTGAAAAAATATAACGTTTTTGCGTTTTGTCATTATTTAATGACTGACGAAATTTTAAGGTGGTGCGAACATTTTCCTGCGTTTTCTCTAAACTTTTAAAAAGAATCACAAAACTGTAGAAAAAACGCATGAAAATTATCGCACCACTACGCAACTTCGTGAGCCATTAAAGAATGACAAACCACAAAATCGTTATATTTTTTCACGTCACTCCCATCGATAATTTGCCAGAAAAATGAAAACAACGTCAATTTTGGCTAAAAGGGTGTCGAACATCCTTAAGGCCAATCCTACTCGTATTTCATGGATATCACGTCTTTTCAACTAGGCGACTTTTCAACTATGATGATTCAACTACGACATTTCAACTGCGATATTTCATCTTTTGTCTTTTCAACTGCTCAATTTTAACTACGACATTTCAACTGCTTTCTTGTTCAATTACTGTAGTTTTGTTGAATTTGCCAAAATTTTTAACTTTCCATTTTCATTTCAGTAGCGAAGCGGTAAACCGGGTTAAGCCGATTTTTCCTTTTGGCCATTTTTTTATGAATATCTCGGAATCTAAGAGAGATAGCAAAATTTTGTTCATGACCTTTTTTGTAACTCTCAGTTGGCTCTACAAAAAAGGTCATGACAACAATTTTTGTATCTCTTTTAGATTCCGAGATATTCGTCAAAAACTGGCCAACAGTTAAAATCGACTTAACCCAGTTTACCGCTTCGCTCCTGATTTATTTATTTACTTTTTTTCGTTTTCTTTTTAAACACACTTTTAGGAACATACAATCCAAGGACTCAATGTAATTTATCCTGTATTATCATTTCGAGAGGATTATCCCCTCTCTAGTCGTTTCGCCGGATCACGGAGATATGGTATCGAATTTGTAAATAACCGAATAATCTGTTTGATAGTTGGCATTTGAAGGAAATTCGGGATTGATTTACTGAGAATATCATATTTTTGTCGTGTATTTTAATTCTAGTAGTTGGAATGTCGTAGTCAACATGTAATTAGTTGAAAAAGTGGTAGTTGAAATGTCGCCTAGTTGAAAAGACATGCATTCATTTCATGACCAATGTCGTTAGCTATTATTATCTATTTATGAAAAATCATACTTTTCATGATGATAATTCGTGAATGACCTGGTCAGCTTTCGATACATATCACAGACTTTCAAATACGTATTTAATTTTTTTTCACCCAAGGAAATAGAGGAATGGCAATATTTCAAAATTTGGCTAATATATTAAACATCAAGAACTGAGGTTGTGGCGGTCGTCTAAGCTTTGTCTTATTTTCCGATGTGAAAATCAACGGTGAAATATGGATGCGTTCATTTTTTTTTCTTAACACTCCATTGGTTGCGCTATGAGCACTGCGTCGCAACTTTTCCGATTTTTTAAATTCCACTGAAGCCTCAGAAAAATTTGGAAAAATTTGACATCTCATTTTGAAGCATCTAGAAGCGTTATCAATGAAAATATCCGACAAAAACATCATAAGTAGTTGAATTTTCAATTTTTTATTTCCAAACTCTGGGCTGTGTACCCTGTATAAGGCGAATTTTCAGAAAAACATGGCAACTTAAAGCTTGAATATGGGGTATTCCACGCCAAATGAGTCAACCGTTGACCCTCACCCTCTTGGAAATTGATGGCAATTTTTTCTACAATTGGGGGATTGAAAAACTATTTCTCAAATTTTTTCCGATTTTTTCGGCAGCCCAGTTTGGAGATACGATTTTTTTTTAGTTTTTCCGTTTTTTCAATAACTCGAGTTCTATCCATCCGATTTTGATTTATCAAGCGTCAAATTTTTTTCATTTTTTACTGCCTATAAGAATATTTTTCGTAAAATTTTTTTTTCGATCTTGAGATGCTCATAATAACGAATCTTCGAGAAAAAAAGTTGCAAAATTTGAATTTTGCCAATTATGTCACTTTTGATTTGTTTCATTTTTTTCAGTAATTCGTATAATCAAAACAGGTATTTTGAGCCATCATACAAGTTGGGGATCGTCCTGGATCTATTTCATTTTAATTTTTTTCTTTTCGAAATTCCGCAAATTTCGTCAAAACACCCGGAAATGACGTTGATTGACTTTGATTATAGGCAGTGTGATGTGAATTTGACAGCATAGCTATATATTACATATTTTCGATACATAATCAAATTCGCTTTGGGGTGTTTTGACCAAAGTTGCGGAATTTCTAAAAGAAAAAATTGAAAATAAAAAAGATCCAAGAAGATCCCCAACTTGTATGACGGCTCAAAGTACTTGTTTTGATTATAAGAATTACTGAAAAAAAATTAAACCAATCAAAAGTGACATAATTTGCCAAATTCAACTTTTTCAACTTTTTGTTTCGAAAATTCATTACTGTGAGCATCTGAAGATCGAAAAAAATTTTTTACTAAAAACATTCTTATAGGCAGCAAAAAAATGAAAAATTTTGACGCTTAATAAATCAAAATCGGATGGATAAAACTCGAGTTATTGAAAAAAATCGAAAAAACGAGAAAAAAATCATATCTCCAAACTGGATTGCCAAAAAAATCTGAAAAAATTTGAGAGATAGTTTTTCAACTCCCCCAATCGTATAAAAATTCGCGATCAATTTCCAAGAGGGTAAGGGTCAACGGTTAACTCATGTGGTGTGGAATACCTCACATGTAATTAAGGGTAACACTAAACATAAAAAATCTCACGGGAGTTCTTCAAGTATACAGTCTAGATCACCCTTAATTTTTTTCAGATTTTCCATAGATCATGCAAATTTATCATTATGTCGATTTATGCTGGTGCGGCGCGGCGCTTACGGCGCGATCAACGGCGTTCGTAACTTTGGCACGACTAACAGAGTGTTAAGGAATCGTTATATCTCAAGAATCGCTCAACCGATAGAGGGGAAATTTAGCCCAACTTTGAGACTCAGTAATACCAATTAGCAGGCAGGAGTTCAGCGTTTTCGCGTTAATCTTTTTCGAGTTATGGGAACAGTTCTGGACATACGAACACACATGTTCACACCCATACATACATACAGACATAAAAAAAAAATATCAATTCTTCATGTCTTGTGACATTTCTAGGGATTTCCACCCAAAATCAGGAAATCTAAAAAAATCACATTGCCATAGCTTCCATTCGGAAGCAAAAAACAGAAAAATGTGCAACTATACTCAAAAATTTCAATATTTATTAAGTACAATATTGAAGACAATACAGTCATGCCTCATTGGCAATTCCTTAATTTACGACTATATACTTGATTCATCGAACATCATGTATTATCAAATTACCTCGTGGACGTTATCCTTAAACCTATAATCTGTCATTGTGGTGCACTTAATATTTTTACAAAACTACAATCACATTCGACGAAAAAAATATACATCTGATTTAATAACTAATTGGAATGGAGGAACATATTTGGCTAGAGGGATCAAAAACTATGAAAATATCAGAAGGGAGGAAATGAACAAAGAATCTAAAATTTGTTATTGTCAGCATTCGAAGTAGATAACATCAAACAATCAAGTACAATTTTTCGAAATAATAATACTTCAGTCTGGATAATAATACCATTGTCGCAGTAGGCTCCCCACTAAGTCTAGAAATATAAATTCATCCATTACATCATATTACAGCCATTTTATCGATATAACATTGCATAAAAATTTACTGGATATTGAGTAAATATCCCAAGGTCATAATCCTTAACAATTATTTCACGGATCACAACAGTTAGAGCCTTACACTAACCATCAACAATTAATGGAACAGTTTGTCATCGATAAAATTCAATTATTATATCTTAACCGATAGCGATTGGCATGCAATCGCATTGGCACAAAGTAATTAATCCCTATCACAATTCCACCTAGTCGAATATTCGTCATAAAAAAATATGAATTATACAAATTAATATGACACAATTCCCATTATCAGAATTATTTCACAAGAGAGTGTTAAAAGCTCATGAGTTGAAAAATTTCCTACAGATTTTTTTGTAAATTTCTCAAGAACTAGTTGGTTAAGGGGTAACAGAAGGCCACCGTTTCCGCGAAATTTTCAAACAAATTTCCTGCTCAAAGTTAGCAATATTTTTGGCATCGAAAGCACATTGATCTTAATCATCGCCTCCTGGAGATTAATGTGCTTTGATCCGTAAAAATATCAATAACTTTCGGCAGGACATTTATTCAAAAATTTGGAAAATTAAGGGCATTCTGTTATCCCTTAAGAGAAGAATGTCAAGAGATTTTTTCTTTATCTAGTAAACTTCCATACGAAAAGATCTTTTGATACATTTCTCCAAATGATTCCGAAGGTATTTACAAAATAGTCTGTGAATAGGGGCGAGTGGGACAAAATGGAAAATCAATTTGAGTTCATGTTACTCACTCACTGAATTATTAATGAAATAGGATAATTTTTTTCTATCGAACACATGATTTGACGTATGAAAAAAATTCATAGAAAAACCTAGCGAATTCACTAGGCAATTTTATTGGATTTCTATTGAAAATTCTATTAGTTTTTGGCCAATTCTATTGAAATGTTCAGAAGAAAACGTCAGTAGAATTAGATTTTTCTAAACAACTTATTCTATTCAGATATTTTGTATAGAATTTCGTCGGCTCAAATTTTCAGAGTTTTTTTGTATAAAAGAAAAGAAAAAAGAATGAAAAAAAAAATAGAAAATTTGAGCCCAGAAAATTCTATAGAAATTATTTCAACAGCATAAGTTGTATAGAAAAATCGAATTCTATTGACTTTTTCTATAGAATATTATCTACTGAAAATTTCAGTAGAATCAGCTAAAAACTAATAAAAAGTCCAATCGAAATCCAGTAGAATTGCCTAGCGAATTCGCCACGTTTTTCTACTCAATTTTTTCGTGCGTGTCTTCCCCTCTATGCTGAGCGTAGAATGAAATCAATTGACGAACGGTTTTTGAGCTATGAATATTGAAAAAAAGTCAAGTCTTCATTTTGCCCCATCCTTCCCTACTTAAAAAGAAATTCCGTAGAAACTCTTGTGTAACTCCCATAATTGTTGTCTAAAATCACTCGAAACCGATCAGTTCGTGATCTTCATGTACAATTTAGTCGATCACGTTTCTCTGCATAGTATTTTTTCGTCCAGCTTACGAAAATTTGTCGAGAAATTTCTACTGGATAATTCTTGACAGCCTAAGTCTGAACGAATATCGTCTGGATCTATTGAATCTGCGTCCATTTCCTCACAGATCCATCCATCAAAAACTGCAATTCCCAACGTATTCGCCAGACTCTTCACTTAAATTCTCCCTCGCATCGGCTCAATAATTTCATCCACCGAATAATTTCCGCTGCCTCGTGTCAATAATTTCATTTCCTCCTTCCGCTCATGCTCTCCATGAAACTAGGCTCCAAACAGCAACGGAGACGACGGCATGGACTCCACCACATTGATCCTCGTTCCCAGTACTTCCATATCAGTATAATGCAATTGACAGACTGTACTCGAGTTACTCAACGTCGGCTCGGAGAGCATTCCCCGTCCCTTGCCCCTCCGCCAATCCACCTTACACTCCCTCTCGATCTCCCTGGTATCATCCTTAGGATTCCCCCTAAAGCATGACACAATTCTCCGAACACTGGGGTATCGGAATTGGGCAAAGTGTGGCGACGGACCGACGACGGAGAGCAAAGGGCAGAGGAAGAATGTCGCGTAGGCCCAGCTAATTCCCATGACGAGAATCAAGAATACCCCAATCTGAATGTACGCAAGCACTTGAGATGGCAGCATGAGAGCACCAGACGCACCACTGGTGACAGCAGCCATCAGAGTGGGCCCCCCCATTTGCTCAATAGCTGTCCTAACTCGATCAACCCTCTTCTCCGATGCACAAGCTCGATAAGAAACACTGTAATGCAGAGAGAAATCCACAGCCAACCCAATGGCCGTAGAGACAGCGACACTCTCAAGGACATTCAGCCTCCACCCAAGTAAAACAAGTGCAGCAACAGTAACTAGAATAGCTGCACCAATGGCTATGATAGCATAAAGACTGACAAGAGGATTCAAAGTGACTAAAGCCAGCACGACCAGAGCCAGGATCATGGAAACCCCCATGGCCCACAGGGTGCCCTCGTAGAGTGTCCTCTGGAGCTCGTAAAACTCCAAACGACTCACGAACCACCCGTTCTTCATCCCCGGTGGTGCGGACTCTAGCTGCGTCTGCATCCACCCCTCAACTTGATTAAAGAACCGGTCCATCTCAGCAAAAGACAAACTGTACGAGTAATTGCTGTCGTATTCCACTATGAGGGCCATTATTCTGGGCAGAGGCATGGGGAGAGTGCTGTTGTCCACTAGATGTTGGGGGGAGGGCTTCATCGAAGCTTTGTCGTACTTTATTCCACCTGCCACTGTGCCCCCTCTCTGCCAGAGGTAGCTCGGGGTTCTGTACAGATCGGCACTCGCTTCTGCAACGCATTTTCTCAAGACTGATGGAGCGTATGGGTACTTGCTCGCCTCGCAGCAAGGGGCTTTGGAGATGCCTGTGTCGATTACATCCTCGCACCGTCTTTTCATCCAGTTCTTGAAGGACTCGATGAAGCAGTTGGGGAGGAGAGGACCCAGGGTCTCGTGGTAGAAGGGCTGGGAGCGAAGGTCTCGACAAAATTTTTCTAGCCACATTTGGGAGTGTTCGTTGGAGATGTCGAAGGAGTCGTCCCAGACTAGCCCTCCGCGGGATGAGGGGTCTAGGTAATCCCCGTCGTCCACTGGTTTTATCCCCCAGACGAAGCGCAGGGGAAGCAGTCCTGCGCCATCTCCCATTTCTGATTTCTCGAATAAGAATCGGTGAGCGAATTGCAAGTCGTATTGTTCGAATGGGTGGGAAGCGTCGAATAGTTGGAAGTTGGGGGAGTCTGGGAGACGAAGGCCGGGGAAACTGAAGACCACCATGCCTGCGGCCAGGGCGATAGCACCGAGGGATGAGAGCCAGAGCCAACGCAGCCCTATCACCATTTGGGCGATGATCGAGCTGAAGGCCACTGAGACCTTCTCCATGGAGATACGCAGGGGGCGGATTATCTTGCGTACTAGGAAGTTCGCTGGGGAGAGGATTATTAGGCGACAGTGCTCCGAGATCACCACACTGGCCGGGAGCCAGGTCACCATGAGGAAAAAATTGGCGATCACTGTCATCCCTGAGAACAAACTGTTTAGATGGTGATATTAGGTATGTTCTTTTCCGGTTTATTGTTCTGGCGTTTCTTTCGCAGAGAGGGGAAACGCGGCTATACCGCGCGAGCTATAGGGTAACCAGACCAATAGATAGACGGTTAAGGACAATTTGAGGTCCGTCAAAAATAAATCCACTGTTAAAAAAATCCAGTGTGACGATTTTTGAAGCCTCTATTCCGCTTATCAAGTATGTCTATGTATATTTTTTATGTACTGTAATCTTGTGTTTACAGTAATTGTAAAAAAATAGAATTTCATTTCTTACTGTAATAAAAAATATATATACCATAAAATATATACTATATGTGAGGGTTTCCACGCCAAATGAGACAACCGCTGACCCTTATCCTCTTTTGGAAATTAATGGCGATTTTTTTTACGGTTGGGGGGGTTGAAAAACTGTATCTCAAATTTTTTCAGATTTTTTCGGCAGTCCAGTTCGGAGATATGATTTTTTTTATATTTTTGCTTTTTTTCCAATAACCCGAGTTCTATTCGTCCGATTTTTATTTATTAAGCATCAAAATTTTCCATGTTTTACCGCCTATACGAGTATTTCCAGTAAATATTTTTTTTCGATTTCTAGATGCTCATAATAATGAATTTTCGAAAAAAAAGTTAAAAAAGTGGAATTTTGCAAATTATGTCATTTTTGATTTGTTTCATTTTTTTCGAAATTCTGCAAATTTGGTTAAAACACCCCACAAAGACATTGATTGACTTTGACTATAGACAGTATGAAGTAAAGTTGACTGTATACCTATATATTACATATTTTTTCGATACATAATCGAAGTCGTTTTGGGGTGTTTTGATCAAATTTTCGGAATTTTTAAAAGAAAAAATTGAAAATAAAATAGATCCAGGAGGATCTCCAACTTGTATGACGGCTTAAAATACTTGTTTTAATTATAAGAATTACTGAAAAAAACGAAACAAATAAAAAATAACCTAATTTGCAAAATTCAACTTTTTCAACTTTTTTCGAAAATTCGTTATTATGAGCATCTAGGAATGGAAAAAAAATATTTACTGGATATAGTCTTATAGGCGGCAAAAAATAGAAAATTTTGATGGTTAATAAATCAAAATCGGATGAATAGAACTCGAGTTATTGGAAAAAAACGAAAAAATGTAAAAAAAAATCATATCTCGGAATTGTGCTGCCGAAAAAATTTGAAAAAAATTTGAGAGATAGTTTTTCAACCCCCCCAATCGTAAAAGACATCGCCATTAATTTCCAAGAGGGTAACGATCAGCGGTTGACTCATTTGGCGTGGAATACCTCATATATTATAGATATATGTTTTACGCTGTAATTTTTTTAACTGTAAAAAATATATATAGGATAGTATATATGTAATAGTACATAATACATCTCTAAAAATAAAAAAGAACGCAAAACACAAAAGAGAAACAAAGAAGAAGATGAGAAAGATTATGACGATTCCGAATAAATTATTCATCAATGAAATTCTCATTGTAGAAAACTTTGTTGAAACCATTCATTTTTCCTGCATTATTATTGTGATGAAAATTAACGAAAGTGAGAAACGGTATGGTTTTAGTATTCTGACACCCATGGAAAATAATACGCACAGGAAGCGCGCGCTGTTCTAGTTTTAGAAATAAGGCTTAGAAATAATTATGAAAAATGAAATAAAAGTCTTCATTTTAATATTTCGTATGAATTTCAACAATATTCTCACTGTAAATGGATAATTTTATATATGTATTTCAATGGAAATATTTTATCAAGAAGAAACAAATAATTCCCTTATTCTGGATGAATCCTCTATAAGAATCCAATCGAAGATCTATTCCATAGGAATTAGGAATTACTCTTTGTCGCGTGCAAAATGATTCAATTTCTAATCAATAAATTCATAATTTGGGTCAAGGGAAATGATGAATATATTTGACGAATTATTTAATATTATTTTATTATTAAAAACAAGAATGTTATTGAAGGAAAATAGATTCTATTCATTTTTTCTTTGGGGATAGCGCATGCGCAAATGCTCCCGGTCCGCGTACCGGGTCCGTTGTCACCATACACAGACGAACTTGAGGGCACTTTTGGTACACGACGGACCCGGTTTTCAGGCCGTCTTGAAAGACCACGCACCACGGACCCGGTTTGCCGGACCTGGTCCGTGACCCTCCACACACAGGCGAACTTGGTCTCTTGGAGGCTCAATCAATTTCGGCTGGTCCGCGTACCCCGTACGTCCGTGTATGGTGGCCTTAAGTCTTTGAGGATCCTGATCTATATAGATTTCCATTTGGAAGCAAATTACTAATTTATCAGAAAAAATGACCTCCCAAGTTATAAAAAATAACAATTCTCCACATGTTTTCTCTGAATCCTATGTGTTTCGAATTTTGTTTCTTATTACATGGAGATTTCCAGAAATTGAAGATCGAGTGGAGGGGAGGAAATACTGTAGCGTTCTTGGAATTGACCCCCCCTATACGCCCGAAGGGACGACTATACTAGAATTTATACTGTATTGAAATTCAGGAATCCTACAATTGCAATGTCGTTATCATAGAATGTCTCCTCGTGGGAGATGAGACATCATCGGATGCTGAGAAAACTGCGAGAAAATACGAAATGGCAAATTCCGGAAGGGACTCCAACTCATACAAAGGGTGAACCACCAAGTGTTGAACCCGCCCAATGATTGATCTAATTTACATGTTTATTGTAAAGCAAATGCTTAATGCAGTGAAATGGAACGTGTGTCCTCTTCGATAACTAATGTGATGTTCATAAATTCAATGAGGCACACAATTCTGTATACTAGCCTTCCACATTTCTCTAATCGTTCTTTGGATACCATGATTTTTAATGCGAGTGTATCCGAAACTAAAGCAATTTATAAATTTTCTTTGAGTTGCTGTTCTGCCCGGAGAGATATTGACCTATTAAACGCCTCAATAGCTTTCTACAAAAATCTTTTACTGTCTGTGCTTAATTTGAAAGATAATTTAAGCTTTTCATCAGTCTTTTATTGAGTAAGGCCAGTTGCTCCTCGCTGTGCACACTTTAGCTCATCTCTTTGTTCCAAAGAATTCAGGCATTTCTTGCCGAAGAGAATGAGTGATAGGTCTCACCTGAAACAGTTTATTGCCGTTACATTGCTGACAATCGACGCAAAAAAGGCGACAGCTGTCGTCAGCGATGTGACTAACATCGAGGGGACTGCGTGCTTCATCGTCTCTTGGACGAGTCTCGTAAGACCACCGTTTGAGACCTTTTGTTGCTTGTCCTGGGTCCACACTTTGCAGTATATGAATGCATCGTCTGCTCCAATTCCTAAGAAATAATTAAAAATTTTTTTTTATTTCGAATCGTTCATGTTGTCAAGAATGAAAAAACTAGTGCTTTCTTCAAGAAATTTTATTGGATTTCTATGGGAAAACAATACAAGAAGTCGATTGAAGTTCTGTTAAAATTCTATTGGTTTGGTAGATGAAATTTAAGATGTCCAAATGATGAAAATTGATCAAGTGATTAGGACTTGAAATACTGGGCCTAATCTAAATGACTTGATCAATATTTATAATTAGAACTTCCGAAATTCCATCATCTTCGAAACAGCTAATGTTCAGAAAAGCCAATATCTATGCAACAATCTAAAAATTCATCGAAAACTTTTTCACAATATTGCTTTCTATCGAAATTGTTGGGCAGAAATTTTCTAAATGTTTTCCACTGTATTTTTATTTGTTTCTCATAATAAAATTTCAGAACAAGAACTTGGAAAATGCGCGCCCAAGAATCCTAGAAAACGGACAGCAGAATGAGTTATAAAAAAATTAACATATACAGACTGTTACTCTATTTTAAAGAATAACGACACGTATCGGATTTCAATTGAATATTTTCTATTGGACATTGCAATAGAATCAGCCAAAAACTAATAGAAAGTTCAATAGAAATCCAATAGAATTTCCTAACGAATTCGCTAGGTTTTTCTATTAAATTTTTTCGTGTGTGGAGGGAAAAACACACGACAGAGTGCCATGATTTTAATAGAATGGGTGCGCATGGCAAACCAATGAAACCCTAATAGAATTCGGACGAGGATAAAATACCACTTTTTATAAAAGTGAACTTTGGAGAATTCTCTAACAGAATTCTTATGCTGTTCCAACAGAAAGTCGGTTTCCCAGAGATAGCGCTAGATTTTTCATTGAATTTTTTTCCCAACGCCTACAAATCGGAATAATGCTTACCAACTGCGACGACGATAGCCAACAAATTCATGAATGGAAAGAACGTGATCTTCAAAACCAGTGTATAAACAGCATACGATATCCCAAGACTGAATATCACTGCTAGTATCGTAGAGACAGTGAGAACCACAGATCCAGTGTACGCCCATATGCATATCGTGACGAAAGAGAATCCAAACAGCAGTAAAAACGAATCCGAGACCAACAGTCTATCGAACAGAGTGCTCTTCAGTCCCAAGTCCATTCCCAGGACCTTGAAATTCCCATAAGACAACTCAACACTGCTGACGTCCTTGTAAAAGCCAAGAGTTGCAGAGCTAGCAGCAATAGGCAGGAAAATCATGGCCAGTTTCAGGGTTGAGTTGATTCTATTGGCTGATATATGTGGAGGAATGAAGTCAGCATCGAGGAGGTAATGCAGCAGGTGGTACGGAGCGTTGTGGGCATAGCACTCTGGTGGCACTTGCTTCTGGCAATTGAAATCTTCAGCGCAATCTGGAGTCAATCGACGATTCCTGTAATAGTAAGCACATCTCTTAAGAAGCTCCTCGACGTTCGCCAGATCCTTCTCAGTGACTTGCAGACAAGTCGTTCGATTCGAGAGGAATGCCACGTAGTTGGCTGGCGACCAGCTGCGACAGCACTCTTTACTGTTAGGCCCATTCGTAGACCTTGTCTCACACAAAGACAAAAATTCGGGGTTCGCTCTCAGGGTTGCGTCTATGTGACACTGCGCGAGGACACCTTTACGAGACCATAAATTAGCTTCTCCCATGTCTGAGCCAACGATCACTCGGGAATACGCCACACTGGGAAGATTGCAGAAGAAAGCATCATCGAGGTGACGATGTTTCTCGTGTTCAGTCAGGGTTTTGTTCTGCTTGAGCCTTATTAGTTCGTCCCACTGATCTTTGTCGTCGTTGTCGTCGAAGTCTGTGGTGGCAGTGGAATTGCTGCCTTTTTTCTTTCCCTTCTTTTTGCTCTTTTTTTTAGGCTTCTTGCGGAGGATGCCTGGGATCGTGCGGGTTCTGTTGAAGGATTCGGTTGAGTTTTGTTTTAGTGCTTGGAGGAGGTAGTTGTAGTACTCTATGGGATTGTCTGTGAGCTCCCCTCGGGCACCGGTGGCTTTCATCAAGTTGTACCAGGCGGTCAGACGTTGGGCTAGTGGTGTGCCTCTCGCCTCAAAGCCCTGAATGAATTTATGGGATGAAGAGAAGAAGAGGTATTTAATACACTATTGGGATTTTTTTATGTCAAGTAATTGCTGTATTTGAATTTTCAATACTGTGAATTTTGATTCAATTCAAAATCGCCAGGTGTGAAGAAAATTCCATAGAAAAATCTAGTGCATTGGCTAGAAAATTCTATTGGGTTTCTATAGGACTTCCCTTGGAAACTCTATTAGTTTTTCGCCAATTCTATTGGAGAAATTCGCTGCTTTTCTGCACGTTTTTTTTTCATACAAATAGTCAATAGAAAACATTTTTTCACACACCTGTACGGAAAGTTCCTACTTTCCTCCCGCTCATCAAAGAGCAAAATACGAACTTTCCTTTGCAGGCGTGTTAAAAAATGGCATGTGCACCTCGGGTGGGAAAACATGACTTTTCGCCCTTGATGCACAATATACCTACTATTTTCCATACAACGTATTGCATTGAGATATTTTCTGCAGAAGTTTTCGTCCTACATTTTCTAAATTTAATTGTTCAATTCTTTTAAGAGAGGAGAAAATTGATGAAACGAAATAAAATTACAGAATTTTATATCGACAAATTTCTACAGACTAGAAATTTTTTATAGAATAGTTTCTACTGAATATTTTTTATTGAAGAAAATGCATTAAAAAACTGTGAAATTGTTCGATAGAATCGACGAAAAACTAATGCAATTTGCAAAACAAGTACAATAGAATTCTCTAATTTTCAGAATTTTCTTATGAAAGTTTTTCGTGCGTGGAATCGTTGACGGAATTTCTCATTCACCTTGAAAATTAAAATAAATTGAGTTTTTCATGTTAAACGATCATTGATATTTCAATGACAGGGAATTTTTTGTCAAACCCATCGTGAAAATTGAACATCACCTCCGATTGAACTTCTACAGTGGTTACTCTCTAACATTTCAGCTGGGGCCAGAATTCAAGGAATTAAATGTTTGGGAAGCCCTTACTCTTCCGTTGATGGCGGAGCTAGGAAAGAGATAAACAGAGAGAAAGAATCTGCCTGTTTCACTCTCACACGCCGAGAGTAATTTTATTGCGCAGTCCCGACGCGCAGAGGGGCACACAGATTTACCCAAACACATTTACGTTGTCGATGGTGGGGGAAGTCAACTTCTCCGACTGAAATGTTAGGGAACCGAAATGTCAGGGGGTGACCACTGTAATACATTGAAAATTCAAGACCATAATTGCCGGAATTCCCACAAATTTCAATGGTATTCATTGCCGTATGGACCGAGAAATTGAACTTTTTTTAATATGTGAGGAGTTGACCGATTCGTCAACATAAATCGAAATGTCATGTAAATGTTCCAAAATTCGCGATTTTTAAGTTGAAATTTCAAGAGTAAGGGAGGTTGGGGTAAAACGGACCCTTCTGACTTTTTTTAAAATGTTAATGAAGGGTTGAAATGTTGATAAAATTTAATTATTCTTTTTCAATACAAAGAACAACTCTTTCCCTTTGTGACGAGCCTAAACTGAGCTCAATTCATAGATTTGTTTCTGAGTTATGAATATTTTTAAAAAATCTAAAGTGTCCATTTTACCCCATCCTCCCCTAATTTTCCAACAGTGTAGAAAAGTGGTAAAGGGTAACAAAACGACTCAACTCATTGTTGAATATTGTCAACTACTTCTGAGGACTTTTTTGTAGCGCAAGATGATTGCTACAATAAAAATCACTACATAAATTTCGCTATCTCTTACGTTGACAGATATCAGAGAGTGAATTGATTTGTTACCCCTAATTGCTTTGCTGGATTTCGATTCAACTTTCTATTAGTTTTCAGCCGAGTCTATTGAAAAATTCCACCGCTTATCTGCACGTTTCTTTTCAATAGAATTGTTCAATGAAAAATATTCTATAGTACAAATCAATAGAATTCCGTTAGTCTGTACAAGTAATTCTATTGAGATATATTCTATTGAGGTATATTGAGATATATTTTTGTTTGATTTCGTTCAATGAAAAAAGACGAAAAATAGTGGAAAAAACAGAAATTTCACATCGAGGAATTTCCATAGAAAATATCGCAATAGAAAAAGTTGTGTAGAAAGACCAAATTCTAGATTGTTTCTTTTCTAAATTTCCCCAGTTTTTTTCATTTCTTTTAATGAAAAAAAATAAATAAAAACAGAGTGGAAACAAAAAATTAATGTCGAGGACTTTCCACAGAAAATATCTCAGTAGAAAAAGTTGAATGGGAAGATCAAATTCTACAGATGTTCTGTATAATAGAATTCCATTTTTCTATAGAACTTATTAGATAGACTTATTAGAGATATTTTCCATCGAAATTCCTCGGCTCAAATTTTCCAAGTTTTTAAAAAATTTCGTTTAATAAAAAAAGAAAAACAGAGTGGAATGACATTGAAAATTCACGTCGAGGAATTCCCATAAGAAATATCTCGACAGAAAAAATTGTGTAGGAAGATAAAATTCTACATTTTTCCAATACATAATAGAATATTGGACATTTTCTAGAAAACAAGCGCAGTAAAGCTGCGGAATTCTTCAATAGAATCGACCAAAACCTATTAGAATTCTCAAGCTAAAGTGCAGCAGAAATCTAATAGTATTATCTATCAAATTCAATGAAGCTGAAATGAGCAGAATATCCGTCAGCGGACAATTCAATTTAGGGGATTTTTAATATGTACAAATGTTTTTCAAGTGCGAAAGAGTTTACGTTACATTACGTAAAAACATGTGTACACCCCCAGATTCGCCTAAGATAAATCTTCTGCTGTCGAATCTTTCGCTAGTTTCAGCTTCATTCAAATTCATTAGGTTTTTCTCTACAGTTTTTCGTGCGTGCATCTGACTGAGTGATTATTTTACTTACCAATTGCGGATCGGAGAAGTCCGGGAATTTGTTTGTTGCTAATGGCACGATTAAGCATGTTGATGACAGCACAAACACTGCTGCTAGGATGGCATAGGGATGGTGAGCAACAACCCTCGAGAACCACCAGACCTCCATGATTCAATGCTCCGTCCTACACGATTATCGAACACCTATCTCTGTGTCTATTCATAGTATCAAAGTGCACCCTTGAGGGCTAATTATAGAAGCTAACAATAATGATCCACCGATTGCGGAAGGAAGCAGACAGACTCGGAACAACCATGAGGGGGATGATTTTGCACTGTTGACTGCACTGTGTGTGAAACTTGTCTATTTGCTGATGATCAACAAACTTACAGGAAACGTAGGAGTGATAAATTATTTCAGGAAAGACTGAAGAGAAGAAACCACTGCTCGTACGAATTTTTGATAATTCAGGAATGTAGCCCAGTTTTTAATAACTCATTTGTGGGATTCACTCACAGATATGTCTAGTCGAAACTATTATTTGTCTAGGGGGTGTCGGAATGGATAGACAAACAAGCGGAACTGCACTGGAGAACAAATCCCGGGGCTCACATGCCAATGAAAATCTACCGGAGAAAGCGAATAGCGAAGTTCAATCTCTGGTTCAACAGCCAGGTGGATTTTAACTACCTGAGCCCGACAATGCCATCTGACGAATGTAAATCCAGTCACAGCATCCGAAATAATATTGGTGATTGGAAGGGAGGGATTTGAATGAGGCTGGATGCCTGATGGTCATTTGAACTACTAGTTGAAATATCAGTGACTATTTGTGGGCGTCCACATGAAAAGGGCCCACTTTCACGGTTTGGAGTTATGTATGTTCCGATAATCTTGATCAGATTTCTCACATTTTGAGCCCAAAATCAACCCGATAGAATTATGAAAACTGACGTCAGTATAGACGATCAAAAAAACAATTTAACATTGGTTTAAATGGGAGATGTGGAGAGAAAAACGTGAATATTCGGAAACTAGATGTGACAAAGTGGGCCCTTTTCACGTGGACGTACACATTTGTTATTCAAACGTGCAGGAGAGAATAATGTGTAAAGAGTTGAGAAAAATAATATAGAGGAAAAATAATGTTGATAAAAAGATCGTGCAATATTTCCAATTCATTATTTGAAATACCTTTTTTTTTCGTATGAAAACTTTTATAGAAAACCCACTCGCATTGGGCAAAGCATTCTATAGAATACTCCTGGAAATACTGAATTTTTTTCATGGAAATGTCCAATAGAAAATATGTAAAAGAAACGCATAGTTTTTCATTTTTTACTTTATATGCAAAAAAAAGACGCAGAAAAGATGCGACATTTTTTCGGACAATCAACGAAAAACTGATTGAACTGTCGATAGATTCAATAGATTTTTGCGGCGAATGCGCAAAGTTTTTCTATGAAATTTTTTCATGCGCGTGAGCATTCTCTCGGCAAGATGACCTGTTACGCGCAATAGGGTTTCTTCATTTTTTCACACATTTGATGTTGTAATTAAGGCCTTGTCTATATACAGAAAGTCTTCACATTCTAATTACATGAAATATATACTGGATGCCACTATATTGAAACATAACAATCCAATCCTATGTTCCAGTATAATAAAATGTAGGGGAGAGTGGAGCAAAATGAAACAATCGAAAGACAACTGTTTGACGCAATTCAAGCAAAAAAAAATTTTTTATTAACTGTTGTTTATCAACTTTTTTTTCTTATTGGGAGCACTGATGAGAATAATAATTTTCCATTTAGCAGAATCTAAAATTATTGCCAAGTTTTCACAGGGTAAGATTTTGTCAATAAATTAATTGAAAAGAAAATGAAACAGCGAAATCCAAAGTCCAAAGGCAGGCCCAGGGAAGGACCCAGAGGGGGAAAAAGGAAAATGTGATACCGAATTTCAATCGAATCTAAAAAAGAAAAGTGTAATCGCGCTAATCCGTTCTTTTCTACTGAACAGAAAATTATTATTCTCATCAGTATTCTCAATAATAAAAAAAAATAAAAAAATAAAATTAGTTATCTGTACGAAAAAGGCAACCCCCTGCAACTTTCGAATTTCACCGCGGTCTCACGCACGAAAAAATTTAATAGAAAAACATAACGAATTCGTTAGAAAATTCTATTAGATTTCTATTGAACTTTCTATTAGTTTTTGGCCGATTATATTGAAATGTTCTACAGAAAATATTCAATAGAAAAATCAACAGAATTCGATTTTTCTATATAACTTATTCTTTTCAGATATTTTCTGTAGAGTTTCCTCGGTTCAAATGTTCCAAGTTTTTTTCATTCTATTTTTCTGTTCTTCTCATCAAGAAAATCAAACAAAAAAAATTGGAAAATTTGAGCCGTGGAAATTCTATAGAAAATATCTCAATAGAATAAACTGTACAGATGAATCAAATTCATTTGACTTCTTCTATAGAATATTTTCTATTGAACATTTCAATAGAATCGGCCAAAAACTAATAGGAAATTCAATAGAAATTCAATAGAATTATCTAGCGAATTCGTTAGGTTTTTCTATTAAATTTTTTCATCCGTGCTCCCCCCCCCCTAAAGTCTGCATATCAAATGAATAGTAAATTAGTAAACTCAAAATAATTGTGCCAAAAGGTTTTCATAGAAATATCGTCAGCTCCAGAGAAGAGAATTTAGGAATATAAGGACATGATTACCACCAATGACACTAGCAAAATATTCTCCAGAGTTTTAGTCTTTTTAATACTCCTTAATTCTTAAAAATTAATGAACCTGATACAAATATATTGTGGGCCATAATTCGTTTTGTATTCGAAAAATATCGACGATTTTTGCATTAGTTGTTGTTTTTTTTTGTTTACCTAGAAATACATTTTTTATATCACTTTCCTTGATGCCATGATGCGCCCGATTTACAATGATCAGATATCGTAGTTAAATAAATCTTCATCACTAAAATTACTGAAATTTTCATGAATTGCATGTTTTATCATTTCCCTCCTGCTTCGCAATTATCACACGTAAAACGAAGTTAAGAGTTCTTCTAGAAGACAAAGATATTGCGTAGTTATAAGTGAACGACTCTTCTTCTCTTGTAAAATTGACCCTAAGTTGTATTGTTTATTCGATTACTTCGACTATTGTATTAATCTACGAATTCTAGAGATCATTATTTAAAGAAATGCTTGTAGAAGATGATTGAAAACTCTTTACAATGAATCCTTCCACTTTTGTGTTTTCACGTTCGTTTCATTTATGTACATATAAAATTACCTTTTAAAAATAAAAAAATAGTTGTTAAATTTGTGTAGTAATTATGAACTACCTGACGAGTTAAAATTCGCATTGGAAAAATTGTTTTGAATGCGACAATTTTTTCTTGTTGAAGTGAAATTGAATACAATTACGCCCTATACAATTTTGGCACAAAAGTTAGTAGCATTTCCATCTTTGGTATTTTTCCCAATCGGTCACGTGTTTCTCCCTACAATGAAAACCCTACACAATTCTAGAACTAAAAATTACAACTACTATGCAACAATTAAGAGACAAATCTATACAATTTTATTCGACTGAACTTCGTGTCACGGAAATATATATATACAGTAATAATAAATGATTACTGAGTGATTCACTCTGTAATTCCAGAGAAGGAATTCCCTTCGGATTTACATTTAAACTGTGGTTTACTCTCGAATGTAAAATGACTAGAAATATCATTAACGTTGTGTTTGTTAATTTGATTTATCACTTATTAGGCATCCTGAAAAAAATTCAATGAGTATTCAATACCTTTCTGAACTCGTTATAGAAGAATATGAGCTACGCTATAAGTAACAATTCTTTAATAAACTATGATTGTATATATTCTCTAATCGAAGTCGTAAAAATGCGGCGGAGGAAACGAATGTATGAAACAAGCGAAAATTAACAGAAATACTATAATTCATATAAAAGATTATCACACTTGAGTTTGTGCTTCGTACTTACAGAAATCTGAAAAAAATTATGAAACGTGATAGACAAGTTGTAGACTTTTCACATTAAAATAAAACATGTAAAAAAAAATTTTACAGGAAAAAAATTTCTTTCTGGAATTTCTTACAAAAAATCTGGTTTCCAACGATGAAAATTTTCCTATAGAACAAGTCTGTAGGAATTTTCTATATGGGGGTTTTCGCCAACTATTGGTATGGTTTTGTACCTTGAAAAATTTAATTTTGTTGAGACTTCCATATGGCTTTCTTATCATTCATATGGCCTAAAAAAATTGTTTTCAATTCTTTTTAAATTTTATTACGCCCACAACGTTAATTTTTGAGTTTTGTTTTTGACAAAATTTTGCGTTCCAAATTTTTTTTTCGAATTTCGTTTTTTTCAATTTTTCGTTTTTTTATGTTTTCATTTCAAAATTCATTATTTATCGACCATTTATAAACCATAAATAATGAATTTTGGAATGAAAAAATTAAAAAATGAGAAATTGGGAAACAAATTCTTAAACGAAATTTGAAAAAAAGTATGTTTAAATAGAATGGATCCAGTCCCAGTCTAATTTTTTAATATGTTTTATAAAAATAATCACTTTGGGTAGGAAAGAAAAAAATCTTCAATCGAGTTGGGGGAAAGAGGTACCACGCACGATTTTCTCGTTTTTTGGCGATTTGAAAGCATTTCCAACTATGTGAGCTAATTGAAATCATGCTCAATCGAAAGAACGGAAAATGTACGTCGGAAATCCATATTGAAAACCAGAAAAAATTGACCTCTGCTGAGACGCAAAATTTTTTCAATAACTCACAAAATTCAGAAATTAACGTTGTGGATGTAACAATATTTGAAAGAAATTGACAAAAATTTTTTGGGGTCTTTCAATGATAAGAAAGCCATATAAGAAGTCTCAACAAAATTGAATTTTTGAAGGTACAAAACCATACCAATAATTGGCGAAAACACCCATACATGAAATGAAGAAAAAAAATATTCGCCCACCACTCAATTTTCCTGCTTCAACAATCCCATTCAATAGTATCCAGAATGATGATAATACCCAGGCCTTGGTGGATGATAAGGCGCAGGACTAACCGGATAAGCTGGATTGTAAGCAGATAGTGGTGGAGGTGGTGGAGACATCATTCGTCCCTCAATGGCATCAGGAACAACGTGGGGTGTCGTTGAGCTTGGCTGTGGACTAGTAAGCACTCTCGAGTTATTGCCATGAATATGATGACTCCTCGAAAGACTCAAATCAACTGAATGCCTCCCCCCAGGAGTGAGATCAAGACTAACAACCCTGAGAACATCGCTGTGAGGATATGGAGGTGGTGGTGGTGATATCGAGTAGCTCCCAGTTCTACTTAAATCGACACTCTGACGTTCCCCAATATCATAGAGATGATGATGATGATGATATCTGCTGTTTTGCATTTGCGAGCCAAACGTGTGAAATCCCCTGGCACTCATGTCGAGTCCCTGAAGCTCTCCATTATTCAGCACTAGTGGCTCGAAGTTTCTCTCCCTATTACCAAACTCAAAATCGAGTGAATCATATTTATACGAAGTAGATAAGTCCAACTGAAGAGATTTCTCTTTAACTGATATACTGAGATTCTGGGCAACAGAGTCGCCCTCGTCACTCGAGAGGTTCTCAGCGGGGACTTGATGATGATGATGGACCTCCTGATAACGATTCGGAGTTGCTGATGGAGACACTAGATCAGTCTGCGTCATGTGAATATAGTTATTCGGTGAGGAGCCCCGAGGGAGGTCCTCGTGATGGAGATACTGCTCGATATTATGAGTCCTAGTGGCACTTATGTAGTCCACTGATCGATGGAGGTGGTAGTCTGAGTGCGCATGGTTGGGGGGAGTATTTCTGCTGTCTGTGGTAGGTGCTGGGGACATCAGATCCTCCTGCTGCTGCATGTACGATTCTAGATGACTCTCTGGAGATCGTGAGGGGAGGGGGGAGTGCAGTTGATTGGACATTGAGTAGAGATTTCCATCTCTGTCATTGTCCTCCAGGATTGGGCTGGAGACAGCACCGATGTCTCTCTCAGCTGCATCGAGAGCTGCCTCGACTAGTAGACTTGCATTTGTACTCTCGGTTCGTCGGTAGACGTTCAGACCGAGTTTACTGTCGTCCATGAGGGTTGAGGTCATTGGCAGAGGTGTTGAACGATCCTCATCCTTCTTGGGGGGATCCTCGAATTTGTAGGGGTCTGTTGGGGTCACTGAGATGGGGTGGGAGTGCTCTGGGAGCTTGACAGTTGGGGGAGGATTGAATTCACCCATCCATTTTTTACTCCCCTTGCTTTGGAGCCTGGAAGTCCCGTACATATCGAGATCCTGACGAACTGAAGGTAAGATTACCTCGTGTCGCGGTGATGACATTGGTATGTCTTGACGGGGTGGGTGATTCATTGAGGCCTCTGGGTCGATGTCTGAGTGACTTGGGGGACACGATGGCACTGGGGTTTCGGTTTTCATACTGTTCTCGGAGCTCACGTCCTCCATTGATAGTAAACTACCGCTGTTCTCCTGGAATTGATGAGAAAAATTGTTGGATTTTGATGAGTCATTGAGCTGTTTGATGAGAAATGAATTCGTGGGTATTTTTAATACCTGGGAGATTCTGCGAGTTGATTTCGGTGTGTTGTCTTGGGAGGACTCCTCTAAGGGACCTCCGCTGTATGCATCGAATGTGTATGCCACTGATCTTTCGATTTTCGGCATCATCTCTTCAGTTAGTCCGTGGACTTTCTTGTAGTGGAACTGGAGACATTGTTTGGTGGTGAATGCAGCTTTACAACTATTTTCTTTGCACCTGAAGGGGAGAATAATCATTTAGTTCTATGGGGACAGGAGTGGGGCTGTTTCTGAATGAAATATGATTAAAATGATCAACTTAAATGGATTCCTCACATTAGAGTCAATGAACGTGACAAATGATTCAGTGAAATACTGTTCAAGGGGGACTACCCTGGAACTTGAAAGTTTGCGGTGGCTCAATAGACCTATCGAGGGACTTTTTATATATGATGGGGCATCTCAAAAAAGAGGAATGATTAGAATTTAGGCCATTTTGCCCCGCCTTCCATGGGGAAGAAACTTCATTTTTCGAGTTTTTACCATAAAAATACCCCATGAAATTGAAATCAATTCCTTTGGCATTTTCTCTTTCTGCTCGGTTTTTCGTAACGTCTAAAAAAATGTTTTTTCGGGTAATTGAAGATTGTAACGATGTATAGTTTGAATAACAGAAAAATATGTATGGAAACTTCTCATCTATTCAAAGCAACCTTTTTAGACGCTATTAGTTATTGTTTATTTAAGATGTATGCCCTCTCGGCCTTTTGTATTTTCCCATCCCTCCCATATTCCAACTAATAAAATCTGAACAGTTTTAGACGCTATTAAAAAGCGAACAAAAAAGAGAAAATCGAAGAAATTTGATTTTCTCATAACATTAAGAAAAAAACCGATAAACTTTCTAATTGAAATTTTAAAAAACCGATGCTCAATTTTATTCTTTCGCGTCTAACGAAAATGTAAAAAAAAAGGGTAAATCTATTTAAAATTGTTGTCCACGGAGCTTTTTTATGGTAAAAACTTGAAAAATGAAGTTTTATCATGAAAGGCGGAGTAAACACGGGAGTTTACAGGAAATCCGGCTAAAAATCTCATATGAAATACTATAGACAATCCTATAGGACATCCTATAAGAAATACAATAGGAGAAATCTGATAAGAAATCCTATCTGGAAAATCCTATAGGAAACGTTCGAATTCTCCACAGGATTTCCTATAGGATTTTTTCATACGTGATATGGCAAACTCTACTGACGATTCGGGTACTACCCTGAATTACTCAAATAAAACAGACGATAGAAATAAAAAAAATCATTCAACATCACTTATAAAATCTATGGAATAATCCTCAGTGCATTAATTTAAATAGTCCCAATTTATCAGTATCGAATTCTAAAGGTCCAATAAATTACTATTCACGAATCATAAATAACGCTTACTTGAAAGGCTTAACACCGCTGTGTGTCAACATATGAATCTTAAGATTGCTCTTATTCTGAAACATCTTGCCGCATCGATCACAAGTAGCTGCCCCGACGACATCCTTATGATGCACCTCCTTCATGTGTCTTTGCAAGGCAGCCCTCGATCCCAACAACTTCAAACACAATTTACACTGAAACTCCCTCAGTACCTCCGACATATCGCTGTGCATCCTCTTAATGTGTACCTTCAATTTCTGTGGCTGGCAAAATTTACGTCCACAAAAGTCACACAGTGGCCTAGATCTCTGCGGATTTTGCGAACAGCCATAGGTGCGATGCATTTCTAGATAATTCAATCGCAGGAAGAATTTCCTGCAATACTGGCACTGATAAGCCCCACGACCAGCGTGAAGTTCAGCCGCATGTTTCATGATATTATCTTTACCTAGTACAGCAGCACCACACACTTTGCAGTGATATTTACGTATAGTTAAACTGTAATTAGTGTCGTGGAATATGCAGCAGTGCAAACGATAGTAAATTGGATGGGTAAAATTGAGATTACAGCCGCCGCAGTTTGTTTTATCAGTTTTGTTCTTTCGTGTCCATGCAGACGACTGGGAGTCCGCCCAGTATGTTAATTCGCTCCCCGGTGCTATGTTTTGCGTTGTTACGAAGTAGAGTTTGCCGTTTTGGGTTATTACTGCGACATTTCTCTCTTCTTTGGTCTCAGCAGGTCGCATGTAGCGCATCCAGTTGCTCTTTAGAGGATTAGTTGTACTTATGTATGAGGATTTTCCATCGTTCTCCACCTCCCAGATGTGACGCATGGAGAAGTCATCAGGAATGTCCATTTCCTTGACTGGCTCTCCAACTAATGGCCCCAATTTTGCGTACATTGGCACTGGATTCTTGGAGAAAACTCCTAGTCCGTGTTCATTGGTTGATATCTTGAGCTCCAGAAAGTCTGGCAGAGAATCTCTCGAGTAAAGTGGTCGCTCATCGTCGACTTGGAGACGTTTCTCTTCACTGTGGACTTTTGATTTCAATTTGTACTGATCTGAGTCCTCGTCCGACTCGAATCCATCGTCTGCCAGTTTTCCATAACCCTCGGACATTGGATTTTCGGAGGCAAGGGCTTTTGCCACTTCAGGATTGTGCTTCTGCATGTTGATCCAGTCAATGGATGATATCGAGTCTGGGATTTCGTAGACTGCTGAGATTAGAGGACAGGCATCTTGGATGTGGCGACTGTTGCAGTCCTGGCAGAGTTTTATTTTTATCGCAAGTCTCTGGTGATCTGGACTCCCTTCAATGTCCAAGTCTCCTTGGGGGAGGATTCCAACCGAGGGAGATGGCTCATCAGGTCCCAGTTCTCGAGGTTCCAGGGGAATCATTCCGTCCTGTGGAGCTTTTCTCACATCGTGATTTTTTTTAACTTTGTGCTCTGTATGTTTGTGCTTCTTCTTACGGTGCTTGTGCTCATCAGCATTTGTTTCATTGTTTGAGTCGTCTTGGAGTGGGTCTGCTTCTTGTTTTGGATGCTTTCGTTTTCTCTTTTTCTTATCGTCAGTTTCAGCTTTCCCCTGAGGCTCTGGCAATTTATTTCGTGATTCTATTCTCCTTTGAGTCGGGGGGAGTGCCTCCTGCTTTGTTGTTTCTAATCTCTCGATTTTTAACTCAAGCTCCTGGGGAATGTTGGGCTCAGTTGAGTGTCTAACCACTGAACACTTTGCTGAGATACTACTTCTTAAATTTCTATCTTCCTGAACACTTGTATTTTTGTCGATTGAATTGTCGTTAATCTGTGAATTTTGACTAATATTCTCTTTACTATTTACATGGTTGGTTAATACTACGTTATCTATAGTCTCAGTCTTTTGGATGACAGATTCGTCCCTAGTTTCATGGATCTCCACAGATTTGTTTAATTTAGTTTCATGGTCAGGTTGTCTTGTACTGTCTTTAGATTCATCATGCTCTATCGTATTACCATCATCTTCCATTACCAGAGGGTCTTCAGGCTCTAAACTCTTTGTGTGCTTCCGCTTTTTGCGTTTCTCCTTATGATGCTTTGTTTTACTCCTGTGATGCTTTATTTTTGTTTTGTGCTGTGCCTGCTGTTCATCCGTGCGCTCTGTCGGCTCTGCTGGAGGATTGTCCATTTGATTTTTGAGGAATTTTTCGTCCTTTTGAGATTCTTGGTTCTGCTTTCTTGAGCTTCTACGAAGTGGCTCTGGAGGCTCTACTTCTGTTATATTGTTAGTTTTTTCTTTCTCCTCGGCATGGCCATTCGTCTCCCAGTTTTTTTCTGGGGTTTTTTCATCTTTTCTGGAATTGGAGCATAAGTAAATGTAATAAACAGTTAAATGCATGAACTCTTTATTTGGAAATTTGACTAGAGATTTATTGTTTTGTATGCACAAAAAAAGCGTAGAGAAACCTAACGAATTCTTAAGAGAATTCCATTCGGTTTCTATTGAACTTCTACTCAAAATTCTATCAGTTTTTCACAGAGTCTATTGAAAATACTGCACTAAAAAATTCTGTATTGTGCGTTCTTTTGTAGAAAATGTCCAATAGAAACTATTGTATAAAAAAAATTAGTAAAATTTTATCCTTTCATACATATTTATCTCTTGAGACATTTTCTATAAGAATTTTCCGCCATAAGCTTTCCAAGTTTGGTTCATTCATTCTTTTTCTTCTCTCATTAAAGAAATTGAACGAAAAAACTTGGAAAATTTGAGTTCAGAAATTTCTATTCGAAATATCTCAATAGAAAAAGTTGTATGAAAAATAAAATTCTATAACAACTAATACAATTTTCAATAGAAGTGTCATAGAAATATAATAGTATTTTCTAGCGAATTCGTTAGGTTTTTCGATCAACTTTTTTGTGCGCGAGAAAAATTTGAAAAAAATCATGAATATTCAGCGTCATTCAAATCACATCTTGCATAGAATTATTATTTTGTTAAATATTCATGATTACAAAATATTTATAGAAAATGCTCACTTTCAAAAATTGCAATTTTCTAATAATTTCAGCAATCTTCCTTCAAAAGTGAACCTAATTTATTTCAGATTTAAAAAATATTTTCTAACGGTTCAATATCGAGATTCAAATTGAGACCTGCAAAGTTTAAATAATAAAATCACTGCAAAATGTTCGGAAACTTAGGGTCAAATAGGGCTCAAATGAAAGCTCTGATGTTTCCATACAAAAGTAGAAAAGCGTTTCACTGGAGAAAAAATAGCCAAAGTACTTGGATATCCTCAAGGGAAAAAAAGTGATTTCTAAGAGGAAGATCATTTTCATCACAATATTTTCCTCGATTGGGTGCCCAAGAGCCATGAAAAATTGGAGTACCTCAAGGCATTTTTTAGACAAAAATGTATCAGTCATTCGATATTGTTAATCCTACAAATTTTTTTTTCTCTCAGTGTGCAACATTTCATTTGTTTGTATTCTCTTCCACAGCCTGGAGAAATTTAAATGATTAGTGGAACCTGGCATCCTAGAAAATTCAATAAACATTCCCATTACTTCTCAAATACCCCATGATCCCATATCGGATTCAGTTATAGTAATATTCAAATACACGTTAAATTCTTTTCTACAAATTCATGACTCTCCATCAGCTCAGGGGTGGTATTTTAAACAAGTATGGCCGACAAATGACAGCACAAAGGAACCCCCAATGACAGCTTCCCCGAGGGGGTTGAAATAGTCAATCCCATCTAATTAAAATCCACGAATGAACCCAAATAAATAAACAAAGCGAACAAAAAATGCATAAATTACCTGATTGTTTCGGCAAGATCGAGCAGATGTACCACCAAATCATCATCACTGACAAAACCCATTCGTTTTTTCAACGATAACCATCGTTTAGCATTTTTGACGCCAATACGTACACTCTGTGTATGGTTGACGCCACTGTCATTACAATCTTTGTCATCAATATGCTGTCTCCTCGTTGTCCCTGAATCCTTCACATGCCTGTTACTTTTTTTCGGCATAACTTTACATTTTAATATTCTCCCAACAGATCCAGTTTCTTTTGTCGATAAGTTATATCGTTATTGCCATGAACATTTAACGTGAAAAATTATAATAATATTCATGAAGAAATTTACCCACAGGATATAATCCTATCCTCTTTACGCGCTCGTGTGCGCGTGCACCCCATACCACAAATGGATACAAACACTAACACCCACTTCGCCCTCGTTCAACTACCCCTTCCAGGTGTTGTGTGTTATCGATCGAATCTGATGACATTGTTCCACGTAATTCCCACCCCCAATTAATCCCAAACATTGTCAGTACAATGTTGCTGAGTAATTACATTTCATTTATAAACTGTAAATGATCACTATAAATTGTTAGAGGTGGATTTGCTATCCTCTACCCCTGCACGAGAGCAAAATAAAAGCGTTTTATATTCAATCTGTTCACAAATTTCGACTGTATTTTTTATGTCAGTTCATGAAAACTGCAGGTAAACACCTGTTTGCATGAAAAATTTTTATCCACAGATTTTCGCGGCAGCACTGTCGGCGTCGCGCGGTTTTTGTTTCTAGGTTAGAATTTTATTTGGATTGCATTGTTGGGTCTCTATAGATAGACGTTTTTCAACTCCAATGTGACACTTGTGATTCGAAGAATTGAAGATTTATTCTGGAGTTTGCAATCTTTATTCGTGATTGAAGAGGAGTTTTATTGAGGTGAGATGGATGACGAAGCGGAGACGTACAAGTTGTGGAGAATCAGGAAGACAGTCATGCAGTTGTGCCACGATAGAGGTTATCTGGTGACACAGGATGAATTGGATCAGACTTTGGAGCAGTTTAAGGAGCAATTTGGAGATAAACCGAGTGAGAAGAGGCCGGCCAGGAGTGATTTGATTGTTCTGGTTGCTCACAACGATGACCCCACGGATCAGTTGTTCGTATTCTTTCCGGATGAGCCGAAAATTGGGATCAAAACTATCAAGACTTATTGTCAACGCATGCAGGAAGAGAAAATCCACAGGTTAATGGCTCAAGAGTTTATAAAAGCCCTTCGGGCATACATTGACATCGACAGAGCATTTTCTGGGCGGAAGGGGCCGTTACAAACAATGGAATCACTTTATTTTGTGAATCATTTGATGTTTTGCATTGTAATCCTCACATTCTAGATGCACGATACACATGTTGAATTCTGCTACACTGAGAGAAAAACGACAAAGTTCTCAAACAAGTCTTACTTGTGCCAAGAAAATAAGGAAGAACCTAACGCTTCCTTTTTTGAAATTTTCAAAAAAGGATTTTTTGTGCCAAACATGCAGAGAGTGCGCCGTAATGAAAAATTTTTGTCGCAAAAATAGATTTAGTAGTTAAAAAAAAATTGGGTTCTCTGTACACGCAAGAAATGTCATTTCGAGTACTACTCCTTCGTTATTCGATACTTCCATACGTATTTTGCTCCCGAAAAATCTTTGTTTTATGCGAAACAAGGGATAGTAATTTTTCGTTTCGGCTGTCTAATAATCACAGACAAGAAATGAACTCTTAAGTGAAACAATAATAATGATATGATAGCAATCTTGTAACCAAGGGATAAAATATTTGTTGATAAATTTTCCTCTATATGAGATATTTTCATCCTGAAAAGGCACCGTCTGATGTGAATTATTCGCCTCTTGAGCCAAATATTTCGTTGCTGTCGAAAGCAGAACAATTTTCAAATTTTCAATTTTCAAACAACTTTCAAATTCGAACCAAACAAATTCTTTTTTGGCAATTTTCAACTAGCGATTTTGCTGGCCCAAACAAGACTTGTTTGTCAACGTGTTTGTTTTTCTCTCAGTGTAGGGGAGGATGGGACAATATGAACACCAGATTTAAAGAATGAGTTGAATTGGGTCAAATCTACTGTTCCANCGTTGCTGTCGAAAGCAGAACAATTTTCAAATTTTCAATTTTCAAACAACTTTCAAATTCGAACCAAACAAATTCTTTTTTGGCAATTTTCAACTAGCGATTTTGCTGGCCCAAACAAGACTTGTTTGTCAACGTGTTTGTTTTTCTTTCAGTGTAGGGGAGGATGGGACAATATGAACACCAGATTTAAAGAATGAGTTGAATTGGGTCAAATCTACTGTTCCAGTAAAGGTAAAGCAAAAATGGGGTAAAATGGACAGTTCGATTTCTTCCTCAATTTTTTATGTTTCAACAATATTATTCAATTTCTGAAACACTAGTCATAACCGCGATTTTCAAATTGAACAAACAACTAATTTTTTACTTTTTTCGTAGGGGGTAAACCAAATGTTTCTTTGCAGATTTATCCTCCCCTCGCCCAATTATTTTATGGAGATTTCCTTTGTGAGTAGAAAAGTAGCCGTCTTACAAATTTCGCAAATGGACAAAAGGTCAATTGTGTCCGGCGTGCAATTGTTCATTGAAAAAAAATAATAATTTCAACGTTATTTCAATAGCAAAACGGCAAATCCCAGCTACTCTACATTTCAAACTTCAATACAAAATTTAATAACGTTGAAGTTCATTTGTTAATCTCTTCCAACTCTAATTTCTCTCTACAAAAAGATACCGACACGATTCTGTTGGAAAAAATCTATTGAAAATTGTCTTGATTAAAAGTTGAATAGGACCAACTTTTTCGGGTGTCCATTTTACCCCACTCTTGAATAATTTTTCGGTTGTGGACTTTGCCAAGAAGCAATTTTCAAAAATTTGAATTTTGAAAAAAAATATTGCGTAGAATGCATTAAACATTTACAGGTTTGAATTGTGGAATGTGCTATTCAGAGTCCACAAAGTGTAATTGGGTTGGTACATGTAATTACAATGTGAGGATTACATTTTCGGAAGACAAGATTTTAATTTATTATACATCAGATGTATTAAAAAAATGAAGGGATTTCATTGTGTGTAACAGGTCATTTAGTCGATAAAAACACATTTCCGGATCTGCATCATTTTCTAACGAAATCCCATTCGTTTAATTCATTTCAGAGCCATCATTGTTGTCCAACAAGGCATGACACCCTCAGCTAAGCAATCGCTAGTCGACATGGCGCCAAAATACATCCTGGAACAGTTTTTGGAGTCTGAATTGTTGATCAACATCACGGAACATGAATTAGTACCAGAGCACATTGTTCTGACGCCGGATGAGAAAGACGAATTGTTGATGAGATATAAATTGAAGGAGAATCAACTCATGAGGATTCAAGCTGGAGATCCTGTGGCCAGGTACTTCGGACTGAAGCGTGGACAGGTTGTCAAGATTATTCGACCCTCGGAAACTGCTGGGAGATACATTTCTTATAGGCTCGTTTGTTAACTTGGATTTCTATTTTTTGCTTATGGAGGAGGAATTAATCATTCATCAATCAAACTGCTATCCCCTGAAGAACTGTACAAATAAAGTATACTTTGTTTAAGGAAATGATTAATTGTATTAATTTCGTCACACCGTGCAACTATCATAATTGAGGATGCTTACGCGAAACCCCAAACACCCAAAAATTTTATCTATATTTGGAACTGATAGACAAAGTTATCTCCTTAATGTTGATAAAAATTTTAATCTACCAACTCGAGTTGATTATTCAGAAGTAAAATGGATAAACATTCTCAAAAGGGAATAATGAAAATAAACAAGATATTTCGTGTACTTTCTATTGTTTATTTCCAGCGAAAATTAAAATAAAACATTTTTCTCTTACGGTGAATGATATATTATACAAATAAAATTTATCTTAATCATAAAAAAACTATTGAAGTTTCGAATATACCTTGTTATCGTAAGTTGAAGCAAATTCGGGGTATAAAGACGAGGCGAAAGTTATATCTTCTTTCGTACCGAAGGATAACTTGTGCATTCGATTAATATAATATATTGTCATTGATAAAATTGTAACATAACGCAATAATAATATAATTACACGATAAAGAGCAGAGATTTTTAAATTTGTATATAACGATAATAAAATAAAATGTGGGGAAGCTTTTTCTTTCCTCAAAAGAAAAACACGGATTCACCTTCTTTTTCATATACACACTGTTTGCCTCTACGCACGGGATACAATCACTTTTTTTCTCTACACAAAAAGATAAATCAATATAAACCACATGGTTGATGACTATTCACTACCACTTCGAATCATTCGACGTAACATTAATTTTAGCTCGAAAAAATCTCAATGAATAATGTCTTGGATCGATACTGTGCATTAATCAGTCGAGCACAGCGATTACTTTTTCGACTCTCGAAAAGCGATGTAAAAATATAACAAATAAACATTCATCAGTTATTTACGGATTGGAGCAATGAAAAACTGAAGTAATAAAGTTATATTGCATCGACTTAACTCACATTGATAATATCCAAATTAATAAGTGTTTCTCAATATTAATTTATCATTTCTCAACACCCCCTGTCTATCTTTCTTGTTTATACTCTTGTCATTTTCTCCTTCACACTCACTCATAGTTGCTCTCACTTACAAATTAAACCCTTCGGGCGAATGTGGATTTGTTCTCCTCGATCGAAAAGAAAAAACAACAAATCTGAAGATCTGGAAACTAATGATCATTGCAATCTCGATACAACTTAGTTTATAATCGAACCATTTGTGAATGCAAATATTGCGACTCTTAAAATAATATAAGCTTCGAGTTTAGCGATTACCTGTAAACGTAAAATCGTCTCAATGCATTTTATACATAGTGTCGTTCTCATTTAGAACATTGAACGATATGAATAGGCCTTTGTAGTTGTCCAAAATAATATTTTCGATTTAAAATAGCACGTTTGAAGAAAGCAATTGATCATGTACTTGTTTCATATAATATGGCCTAAGGAGTGAAATAATTATTTTTATGACTCAGAGTGGGCTACGAGTGTTGTCAAATCGTTATCAACCTCAATAGTTTTTTTCCCTCCTGACATTGTCAGGCAGTTTTGATAGCATTATCATTGAAAACCTGACGAATTCTCTTAAAATTAGAACATCAATTTTCTGGTTTATATCCTTTTGCTAAAAAAGTACAAAAATGCACATCAAAAATTCATCACCCGAAATAAAAATTATTTCCCTGCAATTTAAGAGGCTGGTGGGACTACAAAAATTTATATTTTTGTACTAACTCCTCGGAAAATCGAAGAAAAATTGGATCCAAGTAATTCATAATTACTGCAGAAATGATTAATTACAAATCGTTGTTTATCAACAATGTGATTCAGTGGAGATTAAATACAACATGGCAACTGAATGGCTACTGAAGTACGAGAATTGATGATTTCAATGTATTTCCCGTAGCCCACAGCACGAGAATTGTTGCTAAATGATAATGCTGAATATTTCTTCCTTCGATTTTCAATTCTGATCCTGTACATGTGATGATTGGGGGGAGTGTAATGGCGTGGTCCGTTGAATTTGTAAAAAGGGGTCTGGAAAAAAGATGAAAGACATGTATTTTATCCTTTCATGTAGTGAAGTGTCCTAATGAGGAACGCGTGGCTCCAAGTGAAATTCTAAAAGAACGTACCTCAAATCTACAATTTAAATATAAATAAATAAACTCTAGTTGAGTCGTTGAATGTGGCGAGAAAAAATAATTTCAAAAAGCAAAAAAAAATTATCCATCATTGATAATTTTTCTCATGAATTATAACTTTGATGAGTATAAGAAATTGATCCATCATATTCATTCTTCAATTATTTTTTCAAACAATAGCTTGTCGTTTGACTAAAGTGTTTCAACATAAGACGCCAGTTCGGTCACGCAGAAAGAAATTATTTATTACAAAAATTTGACACTGACGATAAATTTCATATTGAGTTTAAAATTTTTATTTATTTTGCTGATTTTTTCAAGATTTTGATCTTCTCCCTAACCACGAAAAATTGATTTTTTCATAAGACTCTGGACCGATTGCACCAAACCCAGTTAAGAAAGTCCTCAGTTAAGGTCCGGGTGTACTATTTTTCGAACGTTATCTCAATATTTTTTTTCATCTTTCGTCATCTGAAATTGTCAATTAAGTCGTGCATCATGCAGAAGTTTTGAAAAATCATGAATGAATAATAAAAAAAAAAGTAGAAAAAATTCTCAATTTTTTCAAAGAGCATTTTTAATTTATATTCAGAACAAGTTGAATAACAAGAAATTGAAAAATGTATCTGATTTACGGTGACAAATGGCGGCCTGTCACCCAATATCATACAGGGGGAAGACTGATTTCGTAAATTTTTTCCCACCCTGCACAGAGACATTTATTACGGAAAAGGCTCTTTGAAAAAAGTTGTAATATTTTGGAGAATTTTTTAATCACACTTTTATCACATAAAAATGGCAGATGACTACATACCACTGTTCTGAAAATTGAGATACCTAGCTGTGACTTCCCATGAGGAGTTAGTGTTTTGTTATCCACCATGGAAAATGACAGCTAATAGATAATTTGCCACAGCGAATCAGATATTTGTAATTTCCACTTTTCTCAATTCATTCTGAATCTCAATTAAAAACGCTCTTTGAAAAGTTCTGAATTTTTTCTATTTTTTCTTTATCATTTTATCATAATTTTTGGGAATTTCTACATGATGTACCACTCAATTGACAATTTTGGATTACGAAAGATAAAAAAAATCCAGATAACATTCGAAAGATAGTACACCCGGGCCGTAAGTATCAGAATAAATGCAAATAATCTGTCCATCAATTTTGATCGAAACATCATCGAAAGTATTTCTCCAAAAAACGTGGTGTATCGATGTACCGTCACTATTTGCCAATAATACCACTGATTATAAAGTATTTAGTCGACATTCACTACCGAATGTCTGAATGAAAGCACTCCACAATGAATTCCTAAAATTGTCTAACTGTGGAATAAATTTACTCCTGATATAAATTTATTCTGACCATTTATTTGGCTAACAGGGCTTGGTGCAACCGGTCCTATGTTATTTTTGAACTTGTAGTTTAATTATTATCAACAATATACTACCGCTTGAACACAAATTCAATTGAAATGTTTCTATTCATATTAATTTTCGTCTAGAATTTATCTCAGACTTTAATCTTCAAAATTGAAGAAATATATTCCAAATTGGTACACTAAATTCACTTTTTGAGCTGAATTTAGAAAATACGATTCTAAATGAGGTATTCCATGTGAAACCGGTCAACCCCTGACCCTTAACCTCCCGGAAGTGAACGGGGATTTTCTGCTAGGTTGAGCGGCCTAGAAAACTGTCACCTGATTCTTTTCAGAATTTTTCCATCACCCGAATATTGGATATGATTTTGAGACTATTTCGGCTGGTCGCTAATTGGTTTAAGAATTTCAATTATGTTTTGTGAATCTGAGTTAGATATGTGAATTAATCGAGTAGATTTAGGAAACGTGTTCTTAAATTGAATTGATATATCGACGCATCTTGGGGCGGAACGGGCAATTCCAAAGACCTTTCTACGATTAGAAACATGTCAAATATGTACGCTGGATCCACTTATCTCACATTAGCGAGATCAAAAAACCGTAACTTGAAAAATGTAAAATCAATTATACACACCCCAAAAAAAGTCGGTCTGAATCAAGTCGGACTCGAACAGATGCAAACCAGAATATCGGTCTGATTCATGTCGATTTTTCGACTTGATTAAGACCGACTTTGGTTTGATTCAGGTCGATTTTTCGGTTTGATTTAAACCGATTTATCGATTTGATTCAAGCCGATTCTTCAGTTTGATTCAGACAGATTTTTCGGTTTAATGCAAACCGATTTTTCGGTTTGATTCAAGTCGATTTTTCGATTTGATTCAAACCGATTTTTCGGCTTAATTCAAACCGATGTCGGCTGGACAAAATTTCGAACAATCGATGTAAATCAGACCGAAAAATCGACTTGAATCAGACCGAAAAATCGACTTGAATCAGACCGAAAAATCGACCTGAATTAGACCGAAAAATCGACTTGAAGCAAACCGAAAAATCGACAAGAATTAAGTCGCTCTACTACTTGAAACAGGCAGAATTTCGGCGTGAATCACTCCGTTTTTCGGTTTGATTCAAGCCGATGTCGGCTGGACCCGTTTCTACTTGAAATAAACCACTTTTCGACTCATATCCGACCTGGAATTTGGATTGGCCTAGTCCGAGTCACTCGGTCTGAATCAAGCCGGCAATCGGTTAGAATCAAACCGACGTCGACTTGAATCAGTACTTTTTTTTTGGTGCAAGGTATCCAAAAATGGATCTGACATATTCGTGAGGGTAGCTCGGAGGGGTTATTTAGAAGCGAAAACTCTAATGAAATTTCTATCTCCAACGCTTCGTTTATGAGGTATTAAGAAAAAAAGGACAGCCAATCAAACGCTATTCCCCGATAGAGAGATCACAGCCCCTTTCCCATTTAAGGCGGAAGGATGATGGCA